TGTACAGAAGTTAGCAATCATCGGCAAGGTATAGATTGGTGTGAAAATACTGACCTGTGAATCGAGACCCGAAGTGGGCTCGTCAAGGAAGAGCAACAACTTCGGCTTGGCAGCGAGTTCAACACCAATTGTCAAAAGCTTGCGCTGTTCAACGTTCAGGCCCTCGCCAGGAACACCAACAACAGCTTCGGCAAAGTCGGACATGTTCAGCATCTTGATGACTTCTTCAACGTAATCGTACTTCTCCTTCTTGCTGACAGTCTTGGGCTGGCGCAACATGGCGGAAAATTGCAATGCTTCGCGGACGGTTGAGGTCTCAAGATGAAGATCCTGTTGCTGAACGTAACCGGTCGAGCGTTGGAATGCGGGGTCGAGAGGCTTGCCGTTGACGAACATATCGCCTGTAATGACACCCATGGTGGTTCGCTGAGCCAGAACATCCAAAAGTGTAGTCTTTCCAGCTCCTGAGACACCCATAAGGGCGGTCATACTTCCAGGCTTGACGAAACCAGAGACATGGTCGAGCAATCGGCGTGGCTCACCCTTGATCTCGATATCGTAGACGACATCGCGCCAAGTGAAAACACCCTTTTGTTCCTCAATAGCACTGACATCGCCAGCACCTTCATTCTCACCATGTCCAGCGGCTCCAGCTTCCTCATCTGAACCCTTGCTGTAACCAGGTTGCATGTAAGCTGGAACGTGACCACGTCGGAAGACGAGTTGCTCAGCCGTGTTGGATGTGGAAGAGTTGACCTCAACGGCGATGAAGTAGGTAACCAAGAAGAAGATCAGGAAAGCCCAAAGGATGCCAAAGTTGCGCCAAACATGGCTCCAGGAGTACGAGTACGAAACCTCGATGAAGCTATCACCATTGATAAACGTCTGTCCAGCAACTGCACCCTGAGTGTCACAGATGAACGAGTTGCCATTTGTGGAATATCCGGGACCCGAAGGGATGAAGCTATCACAAGGGAAGTTGACCCCATGGAACTCGTTGGCGAGGAGAATTTCGAATGCATAGAACTAGAGAAAGTGTTAGCATTTGATGGTAGAAGAGCGAGCAACAAGCTTACAATGGGATTGATCCATCGAATCCAGCCAAACCAATCAGGCATCTGGGGGATGCGAATAACGAAACCAGTGTAGATAACTAGGATAAGCACCAAGACACCGGCGCCTGCCATGGCCTGCGACGCTGTTTTCGTAACGGCTGCAGTTGTGCGGAAAATAGCTGCCATGACGAAGGTTGCCATATATGTGACGATGAAGAACAAGAAGAACTGTCCAGCGGTGTACCGAAGCTGTGCCAGGAAGTACAAAATAATGTTGAAGACTACAGCCTGTATAAACTTGACGGGTATATCGGCAACAATACCAGCAATAGCTTCGGTCGATGGATGGTAGAATGCATACGAGTTGTGCTTCTCAACGATAGGCCGCTGGGCGTATAGACCTGAGATTTCACCAATGGACGTAAGGGCGTTGAAGAGAATGGCCAAGAAGATGACGGCTCCACGACCTTGGAACGAGCTGGAGCCATTGGAGTGACCGAAGTAGATGGAACCGACGATGAGAGCGATGATAACGTTAAGACCGGCTTGTGTGGCTGTAGAGGCTACGTCGCCCCAAATACGCTGGTATGCTCGTCGTGTATTGAGCTTGATTTGCATAGGGACACTGATGAGGTAGGGAGACTTGGGGCGGGCATGTTTGGCCTGGATGTAGTTTTTCTGTTGGCGCAGTGTCTCTAGAGTGCCGTGCTCGTTGACTGGGTTTTCGGCTTCGAAGTCCTTGATTTCCTCAAGTAGGGCTTTGTACTCGGGTGAGTCGCGCCAGTACTTCTCAAAGTCTTCTGGCGTGCGTGGTACCTTGTTCTCCATACCCTCCCTAGGTTTTCGCTCATCTGGGTTGGTGACGGCTGTGAGGAAATCTCCAGCAGTCTGTCGAGGTGGGCAGTACCATCCTTGACGCTCGAAGTAGGCTTTCGCCTCGCTAGCAGGTCCAAAGTAGATTTGACGACCTTCGTAAAGAACAGCGGCTTTGTCGAACTGGTCGTACACGCTCTGACTAGCCTGGTAGATGGCCACCGCAGCAGCACCTCCAGCCAGATCGGAGCCGACCCTCAAAGCTTTCACGAACTTCAGCGCAGTAGCTGAGTCTAATCCACGAGTTGAGTTATCCCAGGCCGCGAAGGGGGCGCCAGCCAGCAACATCTCGGCAACTGATACTCGCTTCCTCTCTCCACCAGAAACACCGCGGACGAAGTCGTTTCCAACCTTGGTGTTGTAGGTGTGACTCAGTCCAAGCACGGCCATGACGACTTTGGCCATGAACTGTGAGAACTCATCGCGGCTAGCTCCACCGGGTCGGTTCGATGGCGTTCTGACAGCCGCAGCGAACTCGAGAGTCTGACCTACAGTCAAATGAGGGAAGTGCTTGTCGACTTCCTGGTTGTATACTGTCTCGCCCTTGAACTCTTTGCGCATGCGCTCTTGGGGAATGCCGTTGTAATGGATGAGTGAGTCATCTGTCTCCAGACCATGAAGCTCACCAGTGAGAGCCTTCAGGAGAGTTGAGCAACCAGATCCGGGACGTCCGAGTACTACACAAAGCTCGCCGGCTCGGATGATACCGTCGAAGCTGTGTAGAATCTGCTTGCGTTCTGACTTGCCGAATATTTCCTTCGCTCGGAAAGGCATCATGAAAAGATCCGCGACGGTGTCCTGAAGCTGAAGAGCCTTACCGGAACCGAAAACGTTGAGGTTCTTGTAGACAACGTTGACTTTCTTCATCTCGATACCCTCACCCTCAAGCTGGTTCCGGAACATGTTCAGAAATCTGCTGAGATCAAAGGCCTCATTGGAGGGGTCCACTCGTGGGTCATTGGGCTGCGCAATGCTCATCTGCTGTGTCACTCTCGAAGCTGATGTGAAGATGCGTGCCAACTCCCGCCTGCCATCGTCGTCGATTTCAGAGCGGGTGACACGACGCTGAAGCATGCCTGCAGCCACATCGTCGGATGAGGATGAAGTAGCGGTTCGCTTTACTTTTCGTGACTCCCCGTTGGATCCGAATTTTGTTTCCGAAGAGTCGGATGAGCTTGATGTGTTGACTTTCTCGAGAGGCACAACCTCCTCTCCCGTAGGGTGAGATTGGGACGCTTCGGTGGAAGAGAACAATCCATGTCCTGCCGATGTTGATCTTTCTTGTGTGTAAGAATGCGATGAGAAGAGTCCATGGTTGCCATGAGCATGGCCATCGGGAAAGTAGGTTTCGCGGCCAGAAGCGGTTCGAACAACACCATGGGCAGGAGTCTGAGATTCTGACCCTGATTGGGCAGTATTATGGGTTTGTGTTTGATGAGAGTATGACGTATCCGACATGTTAGCCTCGCCGTTGGACTTGAAGTCAGCCATGGTGGTTTGCAGCGGCGAGTGCTGGCGTGTAATGTCAACGTCGGTGTTGTCTTATTTTGCTGACCACCTGCGACCGTTCAACATATATCAACTCCTAGACAACGTTTGGACCTATGTTGTCATAGCACCCCGGATGGCGGACACTCCCCATGCCCGCGACTAGTCCTGGCACCATCGCCTCGGACGAGATGCTTGGACCCTTTGAGTAAGATTCGTCCTCCACCGTGATAGATGATTGGGAGCGTGCGCGCGCTACACGGGCCGAATTCGAAGTGTGCGCATCCACGTTCAGTGTTTGTTCGAGACCGCAATTAGTCTCACTACACTGGGCGCCCAGTCAAGAGTCTGCTTTTTTCCTATGTTCAACATGACATCACAGCCCGGACGGCGGCGGAAGCGGAAGCAGCCAAGAAGAAGCCACCACAATCATAGCATTTAGTTGAAGCAGGATATATGGCCACCATCATGGAGAAGCCGAATCTACTCGGTATGCGCAGGTGTTGCTTACCTGTACAGGTGGTGATGCTGGTTCGCATCTGTCGTCCAACGCTTATTTTGGTCCGCGATCGACAGCTTACTACTTCCGGACGAGGGATCGCTCGGGATGCTCCATTACGTCTGCCACGCTTCTCGGTACCCGTCTTCCATTGTACAAACCCTTGCTGGCATTGCTGGCCATCCGGATGATCCGAGGACGTCCACTCTGTGTTGTACAAGTTCCGGTCATTTCCTGTCGGTTGAGTTCCATCCATTTTCCACTTTTCGGTCGTAATCTGAGGCGGTGCACAACGGTCCCCTGAGTAAGGATTATCTCGGACGAATGCAACATCCGCTTGACATAATCAAGTACACGCGTATGAACAGTCATGGAGCACTAGGGCAATTTTGCCTGCTTATCCCAGCGTCTACAGAACTCAATTGCTTCTTGGGAGGTGATAAGGCAGGAACCTCCTACAGGTCCTAATGGCTTGCGCACGGTACTGACAGCGATCTGCATGCACCAGCGGTGAGGTTCAATATAGAAGCTGGGAGATAAAGTTTCAATGCTTCATTCATGTCGTGAGGAATTGCATTCGGGCATGAACATTCATGTGGCTCGTCTGCTCGAAGTTCCATCGAGATCTCCGTACGCTTATCGGTTCAGATGACCACACGCGCACGATCTTGAGATCCGCACACAGGACAACGTTTGTGCATGGATGCGCATCAAGCTCAAGATCGACTACATGCATTATATGCTAGATATGTACACGATAGTGGATTGAGGATTACCATTGCGTCGCGCATGAGAATTATTGGTGCATCTCGACGACGCTTCCGCAAGGTAAGTGGGGTGCGTCTGTACTTGAAGCTTGTAGAAGGGCAGATTCCCAGACTAAGATGCTTGGGTTCTGAGTACTGGTGAGCTGATTACTGAACAAAAGATTAGTTTGGTTTCGATCAACAGGTATACGAGCAAAGCACAAACCTTGTTGATGGTTTTGCAGATTTAGTTCGCCGTTTACCGCTTCTAACGCTGTTGCTCTCGTGTTGGTGGGCCCGTTTTCTTTCTTTTGGATGTTCTGTCGGATCCGCCCTAGCTTACTTCAATTGCAGCCCCTCGAGCTTATGCTCCACGATAGGTATGTGCTCCGCCAAGCGGTTGGGGTCTCGCATTATCGCAAGCACATCCTCTTTTCTTCCTGCTAGCTTCTTCCTCACATGCTCGTACTTGTCCTCCCTCGCTGTGTATTCTCTGAGCACCACGTTGTCACCAAACTCGACAAATATCCGAGTGTCGCGTATCCTGAAGATAACATCGTCCAGACGCATGAAGAAGCGCACAAGTAATAGTAGCCGTTGCGGCATGACGCGAATCTTGCAAGATAGCATGGCAATGCCGTTGTCCGCTAGTTCGTCTTCATAAAGGACTAATTCGTCGAAGAAGTGTATAGGGTCAGGCCGCTTGAGTAGAGCAAGTGGTATGGGAGTCTCGGTAGGCTCGAAGGCGGGTGTTGGCGGTGTGGTTCCCTTGTAATCTGTGCTGTAGGACCAGTCGAACGGCTTGACGACTTCCTTGATATCCTCGAATTGCTTCTGTCTGGGAGCTGTCAGGCGGGCATTCGGAAGGCATCGTGGTATAAATCCTCACCGGTTCTGCTGCCATTCTTTCGAGTATGACACCTTGAACATGTTGTCGCCAGTCTTGTCCACCCGATCCAGCGCATCCAAGGCATTGAACTCGATGTACCAGCCACTCTGCTCGTGTTCTATTCGTACCATGTTGTCGCCAAATATCATCTCGGGCGGCGCAATGCCCAATTTGTTCGTCATGTCTTCTATAGGACCGGCCTTGAGGATGGGCAGTTTGCGCGTGGTGATGGTGAAGCCTTGCTTGGTGATGGACGTGTCGGCGTGGCCAGGTGCCACGGTATCGGCGGGCGCTCCGTTGAGCGATGCCATGTTTTGAGTAGCGTGGTGAGTGACGGTATGGATTCTTCTTCGTCTTCTTCGCTGCCAGCTGCAGGTGGGCCCGATGGCGGGGAGCTTCTTTGGAGTGGGGCGCGAACGAAAGCTCCGACCGCCGATCGCCGTCTCCCATAGCAACGCGTGAAACCCACTTGTTTGTGGTTAACTAGCTGGCATGCCGTCCCTGAGCCTTGAACAACCATCAACATAGCATTCCATAATACTCTTGTTCTGTCGTTCCAGCACACATCTCGACATCGCCATGGCCGACGTTGCAAACCTCGAAGCCGCCTTTGAGCGCACCACCATCAACGATGAGAACGATGACCAGGTCGCATCCACGACCACCACTACGACCTACCACAAGGCAAAGGTGTGCATCAATTCGTCTGTCGTGTACAGCTACTTCTAACACGGTCAAAGTCTTCGGCAACCACATCCGGCCTGTCGTCGTCACAATCAGCTGCAAACCGCATGAAGCTGCCCCATCAGATTCCATTACAGAAGCTTGCCACACAAAACGCAAAGACGGCCAACATCGCCAAGGTCACCATCACAGCAAGCACCAGCCGCCCCTCAGAACAAAACCCCTCTCACCGCCGCACCCTTACCGAGTCAGCCATCTACACCGCTCCTTCAAACCCCGCACAACCCAAACAATGGCATCTGGGCATGTTCGAAATCGGCAAGCCCCTTGGAAAGGGAAAGTTTGGTCGCGTCTACCTCGCCAAGGAACGCTCGTCAGGCTTTGTGTGCGCTTTGAAGGTCCTCCACAAGTCCGAGCTCCAACAGGGCAAAGTCGAGAAGCAGGTCCGACGAGAGATTGAGATCCAATCACATCTCACCCATCCCAACATCCTCAAGCTGTTCGGTCACTTCCACGACGCAAAGCGCATCTTCCTCATTCTCGAGTTTGCCGGCAAGGGAGAACTCTACAAGCACCTCCGCAAGGAACAACGCTTCCCAGAATGGAAAGCAGCACAATACATTGCTCAAATGGCCGCAGCGCTCAAGTACCTCCACAAGAAGCACGTCATGCATCGCGACATCAAGCCCGAGAACATCCTCGTGGGCATTCACGGCGAGATCAAGATTTCTGACTTTGGTTGGTCGGTACACGCACCCAACAACCGCCGAAACACCATGTGCGGAACTCTCGACTACCTGCCCCCGGAGATGCTTCGCGGTGGCGGTAAGGACAACTACTACTCCGAGAAGGTTGATCTGTGGAGTTTGGGTGTCTTGACATATGAGTTCTTGGTCGGCGAAGCGCCTTTCGAGGACACACAAGTCATGACACAGCGCAAGATTGCGAGAGGAGAGTACACAGTCCCAAGCTTTGTCAGCGCAGAAGCACGGGATCTCATAAAGAGACTCCTCGTACTTGACCCTGAGAAGCGCATCGCGCTCGAGGATGTTGAGGTACACCCGTGGATCGTGAAGCACTGCAAGGGCAGCTCACGAGCTTACGAGCGTACCTCTGGCGGCAAGATCCGCAGCAGCTCAGACCAATCTGAGGAGAGCTACTAGACTTGTTCTTGGTCTTCATTACATAATGTCTAACATCTACGACGGCGAAAGGGCGTTCTGCACGGAAGTCATTGATTTTTTTTTCTTAGTCGCGCTTATAGTCGCATTGCTTGGAGTCTTCGGTTTGCCGTTGGCGTTTGGTATATTCATGGGTATACATCCCACATCGCATGCAATGCAAGCATTTCAATCTTCATTCTTGACCCATGTCTATCTGCCATCTACGCGCTATGAAGATACCCGCCTCAATGCGCCTCAACCACCTCACTCTTCTTTTCTCCATGCCTAAAGTCGGGCGTGCTAGGTCTACTCCTCTCGCCCCCAAAGAAGGCGATGTTCTCTCGCAACGCCACATACTCGCTATCTGCATAACCCAACGCCTCACTAATTTGCGTCGAATGGAGGCCTTTGATTCTCCTAATTTCGGTAGCTGAGTAGTTCACTACCGCTCGCCCAATCTCAATCGGTGCTGGGTTGTGCAGTTCGTAATTGGGTGGGTGCTGCAGTGTCTGTGAGGAACTCATCGAGTACGATGATGACGACGAGTGCGTAAGGGGATGTCGAATTGGTATTGGGGCGTGTACGCCGTGGGCTAGAGCGCCAGGCGTTGTAGGCGGTTGCGGGGTCGTTGGTGATTGCACTGGTTTGGGAGAGTGTGATGGGTTGGATAGACGTTTGACAACGACAACGCGTACGGCTTCTTGCTGGGCGAAGTGGCCATCTACTTCTACGATGCCGACAGGTAGTAGTCCAGCTTTATCGCTCAACGCAGCCCATGCACCCTGGTCGATGTATATCGTCCCGTGAGGTGCGAGACCATGCAAGATCCAGAAGTAGCGGTCGCGGATTGGGTTGGATATCGGGAGGAAGCGGGTGTGTAGGGGCACTGGTTCTTCTGGTTTGGGCGATGCGCTTCCAGCCAACTGTTGATCGCCTAGCGAGGCTGTAGATGCAGAGAGATCGTGATTTGAGTCTTGCAAGGCTGCTTGAGCATGTGCTGCGCCTTCTTCCTGCAAGTTGGTGACGGAATTCCGACTTGACATCCTTGCCTTTCTTTGTTTCTCTGCGTGCGCAATAATGCCAGAGATGTTGCCTGGTTTACTACTCTTCGTGATGACTGTCGTGACACCTGCACTTGTCGCCAACCTTGCTGCTACGATCTTGGTGCTCATGCCGCCTGTTCCCAGGGAACTGCCAGCCGAGCTTACATCTGCTGCCAGCTCTGCAATATCTTCCACAACAGCAATGGATTTTGCGTCTGGATTGGTGCGCGGATTCTTATCGTACAGACAGTCCACATCCGTCATAAGGAAGAGGTAATCCGCCTGGACCATAGCCGCAGTTATAGCACTCAATGTGTCGTTGTCACCAAACTTGATTTCCGTGACGGCCAAAGTATCATTCTCGTTCACAATAGGAATGACACCCATGCTCAGGAGTTCAATGAATGTATTCTGCGCATTCTGGTACTGTGTTCGATCGGCAATGTCGTTTCGCGTCAACAGCACCTGAGCAATTGGTTGCTCCAAGTTGCCAAATAGCTGATCCCATAGCGACATCAATCTGCTTTGACCGATAGCCGCAAGCGCTTGGACTTGTGGGAGGTGTTTTGGACGTCGTGGGAGGTTCATACGTCGTAAGCCCACACCAATGGCACCAGAGGACACGATTACGACGCGGTGCCCGGCGGTGCGTAAGTTGCATGCTGTCTCGACAATGAGGGAGAGGATGGAGAGGAGGGGCTGATGTGTTTTTTCGTCCACTATGGATGAGGTTCCTGGTTGTGTTGGTCAGGTGCTCTCTTCTTTTCGATGCGAATCAAGTACTGTTCTGTATTTACCGAGTTTTATCACGACGGTGAGTTGGCCGGGCTGCTTGCGCATATGGACAGCCATTGCGAAAGAGGGTGTGATACAATGGCGGCAGGCGCAGATGTGGGATAGTCAGGAAGATTGTAGGAGAGAAGGGGACCGCTGAGATGTAGTTGGAGCTCAGCGCTTCATTACATAGACGCCGCTCTTTATATTGTTGCGCAACTGATGACTGGAACAAGCCCAAGTTTCCCTCGCAAGCGATCTTCGGGCTGCCTTGCTCGCGGTGACGTCTTCCCTCCGATTGGCTCCCCGCGCTACCAGCTCCTCCCCCATCTCCACCTAAACTTTTCGCGACGGGAATTGAGACGACGCCCTACCGTAAACATCGTCGTACGTCACGCCACACGTCTGCGCCCTTCACTCCGGTCACCGAACTGCAAAGTCGCACACCGCCGAACCATACCATGGCAAACCCCGAGACGGCGCCCGATGGCGCATCCCTCTCCGCCATGGCCCAACCACCCCCTCAGAAGATCGACCCCGTATACTACACATGGAGCAGTACCTTCAACATAATGCTCGGTCGCATGACAGGTTCTCGAGACATCGAACTAGAAAAGGGCTACTTCAGCGAAATGGACAAGATAAAAGCAGACTCGATATGCAAGCGGTGCGAGTCGAACAAGGAATACCTATTACAATACAGTCCCGTTATACGCTTCCTGTCAGATGAAGTATACAAATTGGGAGGCGATCTGAACAAGGACAATATACTGTGCCGCATGTGCACAAATGAGCAATCGGGCGGTTTCTCCCTCGACCATGGCATCCTCCTCTGCGCCAACAAGTTCCGCAATCGCGGACATCAGGAAGACACCATGGCGCACGAAATGGTTCACGCGTGGGACCATCTAAAGTTCAAAGTCGAATCCGAGAACCTGCGACACCAGGCTTGCCTTGAGATACGCGCTTCCACACTCAGCGGCGAATGTCGTTTCTCTAGAGAGTTCTTCACGCGGAATCAGTGGCGCATCACCGAACAACTACAATCGTGTGTTAGACGGAGAGCGACGTTGAGTATGATGGCTAGGCCAGGCATAAAGGACCAAGAGCATGCTGGAAAGGTAGTCAACGAAGTATGGGATAGTTGTTTCCGGGATACCAGGCCATTTGACGAGATATATCGATAATGCGGACAAGTGAGACATGTGATTGGTCCGTTCGAACGATGTACCGTGACGGTTTTACTACCCTTGTACATGCGCATAGCGATGGCGTTGATAGGGGCGCTGGGATTTTAAGGTATACTAGGGGGCGTGGTGTTGTCCAATATTTCTTCTCCGCTCAATTGACTACTTAGCCCTCAAGAGAAGTTTCACCTACAACCACTTAATCGAGCTGTTTACTTAGGGCAAAGTCAAAGGTTGTTGTTTTTGGCCCCCAATACTTGATTAGGCGGTGGCAGCTCAAGCGAAGCGCGAGGCGTATTCCCACCCTGTCAGTTGGTGCTCCGCCGCAATGTTATGATGAGGCTGGACACAACCTGGACGCCTTGAAACACGCAGACTTTATGGGTGTACACAACATGGCTAGAAGTACCAGGACCCGTACCTCTCCACTCACCAGCCCCGATATCTCAAATCTCGTCATCCGCTCCAGACTCCAATTTCAAACTCCTTCCAAAATGCTACCACACACCCTATTATGTCTTCTCTTTGTCGCAACATCCTCCGCGGCTTTTATTCCACCACCACCACCGCGACCCATCCCAAGACCTATAACACCAGACGAACCCTTCTCGCCTATTGTGCCCAATGAACCCCAAGCACCGGCAGCAAGACCCAACCGGCCAGAACCAGAAGCACCAGAAACACCAGACGTACCTGACAACAACTCACAAGATTCAAATACAAACACGCCGGGGGGGTTATTTGTCCCGTATCCAACTAAAACGGCAACCTTGTCACCTGGACATGCCTGGAAATCTCTGGCTGATTCGACGCCGACGGCAACTACTACAGCAGGATCTGGCTCTTCTAGTACGGCCCGGGCAAGCAAAACGGTGAAGCACTCTGCTTCATCGACATCGAGTGTGACGGCGCCGGTAGAAGGAGAGGCAGCTAAAATCGAGGGTATGGGGATGAAGCTGTGGGTGGGTGTGACTGGCTTTGTAAGCAGATCAATGAACATGATGTATAAGATTGATGGACTGATTGTTAGTAGACGATTGTGTCAGCAATGGCCGTCGTCTCTTAGGGACATCAAAAGTGACCAAGACGGAGGCCATGTCTGCATTTGCCCTGCATGTCTCGCGTCTCATCGTATCTTTTCTTTGCCAAGTTTATATGAGGCCTTCTACTTCCCTGCCTCCTGGTCCCGTTCACAAGCTGCTTTGCAACATTCAAACAAACTCATGCGCACTTAGCCATGGAAGCTGAGCCTCTACAAAGACTCATGTCTGCCAGGAGTGTGAAAAGTATGGATCATGTCAGTTCTGCTCATTCTCGAGAATGAAGTTGAAGACTTTGTCAAGCATCGTTCTATGGTGTTTCATGCATCCAGACCTTCATCGCGCAGCAACACACTCTCTAACGAGTGTTCAGAAGTGGACTTTTTTGGTGTCTCAAGATGCCGAAGTTGTTGAGTAATTGACTAATTGAAGTGTATTGAGATAAGTTTTTATGTTCTATCTACGGGTAGAGTAGTCCTTATATCCCTTAAACCTCTCTTTGTCCTGAAGTTTGACTGTATAGTTGTTTGTCTTAGACAACAAAAGTGAGCAGGTTGTATTCTGCTGGCCTCACTTGGCAAGATTCTATATGGAGGTTTTGATCGACAAAAGTAGATATACGTTCACGCCTCGTCACGAGCTCTATAGATTTCGGGGTGTCTATATGCCTGCCTGTGTGTATAAAGCCTCTTTCTCTTGTCATCATCGACAGTCGACTCAAAGACCTACTCAACGCTTGATCATATTCAAGATGTGGTCTTGCATGTGCCATGATATATCGAAGTCTTTGTTTGTCCTTCTCAGTAAGCAATCGATATCAAGGCCTGTCACGCAAGATTGTACGTGCGGCGTTCACTTCGGTCCGAAAGTTCTCGATCAGGCGCGAAGGTGTACTTCCGGGACTTTTGTATGACTTATGATCTGAACAAGTGCGACTCGTTCGTATGTGCCGACTGCGGCTGAGATACTCCTAGATATGAGCTACGTTACCTTGCGTGATTCCTGTATTAGATTGAATGATTGCAGGATAGCTAGCGATTTGATAGGCGTTGGAAGGTTAGCAGATTCAGCCCCTGAGATATATATCCATGTATGTTTTGGTCTTTGTTGAAGAATGCAAAAGTAGCCCTGACCTAAGCCTGGAAGCATTACAAAGCTTTCTGATACATCCGTATCTTCCGATGACATACGCATTGCAGTCTTGGCCTTTTGCGCCCTGCATAACTATGTCAGGGTCTACTCGGCACAGAGGAACGAGAAGGTTGGGCATGCATCGATCCGGAAACCAGGGCCATGCCAAGCCGCTAGTCACATGGCTCTTTCCGAGTTCACGTTTCTAAGGTAAATCTTTCCTTCTACCAGCGCTGCGATCATTTCAGATAGATTGCAGTTTGCCGTGTATGTGTATTCTCGGTTCTTCCTCGTATGTTGGGATAAGGGAGTTTTGGATACCTCTGGTTGATCCCGCATGACATCGTGGATTATATATGGCCTACGCAATTCCCGCCGTCCTGCGTCATTTCCGCGATCAGTCATCTGGTCGTCTTCGCACTAAGTAGCTATACCGTTGGACGGAACCCATTTTTCCGCGCATTCACTCCGCCTTCCCACCATGTGCTGGTGGCACCCCGGACGAATGTTTCATGTCGTACATTTGCAACGTCTCGACCAAACAGAACGCGTCGTTGTTCTTTCGCCACGGACTGGCCGGCCACGCCCCATGTTCTTCCGAGCCGTTCCCCGTGCTAGCACTGACTTCCCAGTGCCTGGTGGTGGGGCGAACACCTCCTCTCGCATGGTGCTGCTGTCAAGCCTTGCCTGTTCTTGGCTTTAGTGCTTGGATTGCTTGTGCTTTCTGGTCGGAAATGACAAGGCTTCAGATCTCTAGAGTGGCCGCGCGCGCAAAATTATGTGGCGACTCGTTGGGGATATGCAGGTGGCTTTTGGACGGAAATTCTGGGGCCGCAAGATCATGAACGTATATATACAGGAGTGTCAGTACCCTGTGGATGTAAGAAGTTTGTGATATTCATATCAGCTCAACCCTTTCAAAATGCGATTCCAAGGTACTAGAAGCAGCATACGACGCGAACCATCCCGATACTAACTCCCTTGTAGCTTCATCTACGTCAGTCATTCTTGCTGCTGTAGGAACAGCAGCCGCCGTACCCTCGCCGTCTTCAACTGCGACTACGGATGCCTGCTACGTGACTGAGTATGCGGCTATCCCGGCAGCAACAGCGGCCTGCACTTCCATAACTCTTGATGGTCTCACCGTACCTGGAAACTCGACTATTGATCTTTCAAAACTGAAGAGTGGAACCAAGGTGACATTCAAGGGAAAGACATTCTGGGAATATGCCGATGCAAACTATGCTTTCATCAAGGTGGGAGGATCCAACATCGAGATTACAGCCGACGCAGATGCGGTGCTCGATGGGAATGGTCAAGCTTGGTGGGACGGTCTTGGTAGCAATGGAGGCCTTACCAAGCCAAACCACTTTATCGAGATCAGCAAGGTTCTTGGGAACAGCTCGGTTCACGACATCTATATCGAGAACTATCCCGTCCACTGCTTCGCTATAAGTAACAGTGCTGGTCTGGATATTCACCACATTACGCTGAACAACAGCGCTGGATATGCACCCAACAACCGCTCCAACGGCCTACCGGCATCACACAACAGCGACGGATTCGACTTGGGAAGCACCAATGACACCACAGTTCGTGACAGCGTGGTTATCAACCAAGACGACTGTGTCGCTGTCACAAGCGGAAACAATATCCTGGTCAACAACATGTACTGCAACGGCAGTCACGGTCTTTCCATTGGATCAGTTGGCGGAAAGTCAAGTATGTCATCCTTTCAATTACCTATCTTCGATCGCGTCCCACTAACCTTATCCTTTAGACAACAATGTCACCAACATATCCTTCACCAACTCTGTCGTTCTGAACGCTGAGAACGGAGCCCGCATCAAGTCGAACTCGAACACTACCGGCTTCATCTCCGATATTCTTTTCGAGAACATTCGCGTTGAGAACATATCCATCTACGGAATTGATATCCAACAAGACTACCTGAACGGCGGACCAACCGGCAACCCAACGAACGGTGTCATCATCCAGAACATTGCCATGAGGAACATCACCGGTACTGCAACAGTGGAGGGAAAGAACTATTATATCCTCTGTGGAGAGGGAAGCTGTAGCAACATCAAGATTGACGATGTTCATATCACCGGGGGCGGATTGGAGAGTTCTTGTAACTTCAAGACGGCAGGCAACTTTGACTGCGATGGACACTTTGTATAATCAGATAATGATAGGACAAGCGTTATGCTTCGTGTTAGATAAATTAGACCGACGTGTCGGGTGCCGTGCGCTATCATCTATTGAGCCTAAGAAGACGGCATGCGTTGAGCGAAAGTCGTCGTGTAGATCGTTGGACGGATCGATGAAGGGGTGTAACACTGGCTGCTTCTGGATTGTGGAGCATCGCGACCTCCGAATGAACTGCGCATGTGCCCACGTGACGTACGATTCAACGTTAAGCCGGTGTCGCGCCAATGGTGTACTGCTTAAATCCGCGCCCAGGCAAAGTTTGTTCAACGGTTTGAAGAAATCGTTCGTGGTCTGGACGATCCCCAAAAGTGCCGTGGCGTTTCGGGACCCGACAATCGCGCCGCTTTCATCAGGGACGACGCCCCACTGTGGATACATTGAACACAACCCGGGAGAAGCGTGATGCTGTTAATTACACCTTCATGTTACCGCACCGTCCGGGTCCTCATACCAAGCAGTCGAACGCTCTAGCTAAGGCTGTTATCTTTGAACTAATGGATTTACCCGGCCTCTTCCTGCCCGTTGTGGCAGGCTTCCGTCCCCTTACATTAACCCTACACTAGTCGAAGTGTCCTTTCACTGCGCGTCGATTACGCGATACCGTCCAGTTGCATGGGCATTTTCAGCGATGACGGCCTGCAGCAGCCCAACTGCTACGATCACAGTCCCGAAGCATTCATTCGCTGCTACCGGTTATGCATGGGGGACGTGCTTCTGCCGTCAGCACCCCATTCTGTCAGCCACCTGTCTCAAGTTCATCATCGTGGGCATGGTACTCGAGTCCTGATTGATCTGCGTGAGTTATGAGCATTGCGAGCAAGTCTTGCGTCAGTCGACGGTGGTTGCCAGATGGTGTGAATCCTTCATCGTCTGGCGCGAACTGCAAGAACTGGGTCTCCGGATTAAGCGACGGCGTGATGCCGATATTCGGCGTGCAGGATGAACAGATAGCTCATGTCAGGTCCCACCAAAATGTCACTCATCACGGCACCAACACGCTTCCAGCAGTTAACCAGCGGTGCGTCATCCAGGTACCGCGCTGCATGCCCCTTACAGGGCCTAGTGTTCGGATGGCTTCGTTGCGAATGGCCTGTTGCGTATCTGCGATAGGTTGCGTGCTTTGCACACCACGTCTGTGCGAATCATCGCCTCGCGCAGACACTTTGCCCGGCCATATCTCGACCGGAATCAACCTAAGCAAACCGTGTTTGAACCACGCTGGCAGAGACTTTTGTCGTGGATGCGCGCACGTCATTTCGTTCATTCTCGTCGCTGGTCCTCGTGTTCTTTCAGCCCCTACTACGGTTCCTTGCGGCCACCTCAAACACGCTACAGATTGGCACGCCTGTCGTAACCTCAGCCTTGCCCCAGCTTTGAGGCCAAACCAGGGCAGTGGTCATGTCGATGTTGCGCACGAGCGCCCCCGCGAGCAACCCACAATTAGCTTCTTCTACAATCCTTCCATACGTCTTCTAGAAGAGTGCCGTTTCCGCGCTCCCCGCTGCAGTCTTGCGTGAGGTGATCCCACTTGTATATCAACCTGTCGCACCAACAGCAGCTGATGCCTGCTCGGATACACGATTATCCACTCCTTGGCCCCTAGTCTTACCGCGACACCTGGATACCCTTCCCCACCCTCCTTTGCACCTCCGCCTGTCGTTCGTTTTAGCTTCTCACTCGTTTGAATTGTCGCGAGGTGTAGTCGGCATGTTACAGTAGTCCTCTGTCGCGCAAATTGAACTGAGCATACGGCTCTCTAGCCAACATGGAGGACAATCTAGACATACCGGAGGAGTCTATGCGACATATTGAGGCCCTGCTGGCGAGGCATCCTCCACATCTAATTCAGAGAATGTTCTCACAAGCGATAGATTCGCGTATGTTCGTCGCCGCCCGTTTGTGTGTGTATATGCTTACCAAGTTTAGGCCGCAACTCCACAGCCTCGTCATTCATGTCCACCAGCACTGCTAGTTCAACCACGACATCCTCTTCTGGGTCATCATGGCGGTCTCGACTCTCTATGGCGTCAACCTTCTCGTCGTCCACAGGCCGCAGTGACACGCGAGGTTCCATCGCTTCCTCATCGTCGTCGCGCTCCAAGAGACGAGCGGAACCACGCTCCTACCCAGCTGGTCTTGATCCGACGCGTCCGGTGCCCGCTACTATGCCTCATGTGGATACTGAAAGCCCACTCGACCTCAAGATGGAGCCAAGCTATACACCAACAGATGATATCAGTGTTGCTTCTCCATCATTGATCCCGGACGATGACAAGTCTCAGAGTCAGTCTGGCGAACCGTTCATGTTCTGTACCTATTGTGCCGAACAAAAGAGCCAGAAGACGTTCAAGGCCAAGTCTGATTGGAAGAAACACGAGATGAGGATGCATGAGACTGGAGAGGACTGGCCGTGTGTAGTCAATGGTTGCAACCGTATCTTCGACCGCCAAAAAGACTTCATCAAGCATCATCAACGCTACCATGCCGGCCGACCTTTACCTTCTCTAACGGATATCGGCATCACCTTATTGCCAAGAAGAGTGTTTGGTTGTGGGTTTGACAAGTGCAAAGAGGTTAGCATCGGGTGGGATGAGCGATGTGACCACGTCGCGAAGCACATGAAAAATGGCGCAACGATGGACCAATGGAAATACTCGAATGTCATCCGGAATCTGATACGACAAGAAGCCCTTCACGATACTTGGAAAGAGCTTATAGGTTGCTTGGATGAGAGACTACGAGAAAGTCGGTCGCAGATTAGTTGGTGTCCCGACAACTCGAGAATCCTCCGACAGAAGCTTCAATGTTGTGATCTTCGACCAAGTCGAGAAGAGGTCTTGATTACCGCCTTGAGTCTCCGCGCTGACATACAGCTGGACTCTGTGCACCAGCAGTTACCTCCAGGTTTCGTGACTCCTTCAAGAGATTCCGTACCGCATGTCGAGAAGCTATCACGTGAGCAGCGCATGCACATTCTCATTGGAAATTCCAATCCACAGCACTCACGAGCGCGGCTCGCAAGCATCAACGCAGCGTTACTACGTATCTGTAGTTCTCTAGCGCACGTACCTGACTATGATTGTGGCTCCTCGCCATTTGTGGAGCCGCAAACTCCCGCGGTGGATACGAATAACCGCCGCATTAGCTACATGGACGTGGACCCTGGGAACTACCTTGACGTAGCGCAGCCAGCTATACCTGATCTCCCACCGGCTATGACAACATCCACGATGCACACACCTCATGCCCACACTCCAATCATGGATCCCGAGCAACATACCCATATGTATCACGACGAATACATGGAGCAAGTCAAGGTCCCACCCAACCCACTAGAAACATTGTACCCCAACTATTTTGGTGGGGCTCCACAGTTCGAAGAATCACAATACTATGACCGTCCCTCATTCGGTCAAATAATCTCGAAGCCGCTTTCTAAGATAGGCAATCGACTCAGCAGCTCCAGAAGCAACACTCATCCTAGACCATCGTCGCAAATGAGTCAAGCATCATCAGATATACACCCTGACTATACTGTTGCAGCAATGGACATGCGCCATCCTCATCTTCACCAGCATCAGCATGAGCAACCCCAACACCCCATTCAGCAGCACCATCAGCATCCACAGCAACATATGATGGCTCAACAGCCGCAACCCTACCGCGACTCAACGTCGCAACTGCATGAACATATACACATGTACACGACACAGAGCTGAAAAGCCGACATGCAACGAACTTTCCTATATGAGCTATGCCCCATACTTGTTTCGACGCTTTCCATATGTCATTCAGCGAGCATTTAGATCTTTTTTGACCCTATGTTTTCTTTGATACCCCCGTGCTTTCGAGCACATGTGATAGACATGTACTATAAACATATTCGTAGTATCGAGCCGTTACTGGCATAACGTCACTCAGTCTCTCATTGAGCAACTGGTGCTCTTGTCCTAACTGATTTACTATCATGTGCAACGCCGTCGCTTCTGAGGGTATCAACAAGTACGAAGATCTGGGAGCCCAGTCTGACAAACCTTTGTTAGTGCGTGTCGCATTTAGCGCTACTCGCTATGGTCGCGGCTAGCAATGTGTACGTACCAAATGTACCACTGCGCTGCGCGAAATATTAACCAAGTATAGGAGAGCCTTGTCCGAACGGGGATGCTACTACATGAAGAGGTGCGCTATCATAATGACGGCCTGTACTTGACGAATTCATCATATCATAGCCATAGATGCACCCCTTTCACGATCGGACTAGGGCAGTTCCTTAACTGAATATCGTTGTTGTTCGGAGATCGACATACATTGTCCGTCTCTTGTACACGTAACACGCAACACCACTTTCTCGTTCGCAGCCCCAGACCTCACCTTCCAGCATTCAAGCTTCGCTCAATCTTCTCCCTCTCTACCACTTCCATAGAATAATTGCAGGCTCCGTTATGGATTTCCACTTGCACCTCGCTGTTGTCAGATACCTTCAGGCCCCACTAAGAATTTACATTTATCTGTCGCCATTCGTTGTGATCCAGCTGATAGTAACGTCATCTCCACGACACGCTACAAGGTTCGGACTGGGGAATCTGGGAGCAGTCGTTGCTTTGTTCATATTCTGTCCGAGATGTGAGATGTCCTGGCGAGACCTTTGAGCGGCTGAGGCGGTCGTGTCGTTTGGTTTGCTCATTGCCTCGAAATGTGCACATTGGTTGTGCTCGATCGTGTCCATGGCAGTCGTTAAATGCTCATGGCGAGATGTCGCATTATTCTCGTGCGTGCTGAGTGCATTCATAATGCCGTGGTTCATGGTACTCAAATTTGAGGTAAGTCTTCGCCCCTCTATGTCCAGGGTAGACATCAACGTGGTGAGGTGAGATATCAAAGTCTCCTCGCTCACACTGGCTGCTGCTATCACATTGTTTATGTTGGTACCGATAGAAGTTTCGAGGCCGTGCTTGACCCTACTGACCATAGTGTGCTCTGCGTCAACATTGGTACCAATCTCGTTGAGCTCCAGGTTGGTGTTGTGGGCGTTGAGATTAGACCACACCGTATCGAATTCTGCTCTAGTAGCTCTCGAATACGCACCGATGCTGTCGTGTAATGATTGGACTTTTTCTTTGGGCACTGTGCAACTGTGCAGTCAGCTCTTGAATGTGACGTTCAGCTCTCGATGCAGGATCTGATCAGTGCCCTAAATGGCTCGCTTCCTCTTCTGATGACCTAGTTCTCGTCCTCTTTGCGTTGTATTATCGCCCTTGGTACTCTGCACTGATAGCCCGCCCAAGTCGACTCCAACGACTACCACTACACGACATGGCCGACGACATGAGCGACAACATGAGCGACGCAGTCGCAGAGATGTACGCCGAGCGAGACGCAGACAACAAGATTATCCAAGGAGTAGCCGCTGGTATGAACGGTGCTCGCTTCGCTCCAGAACTTAGAGAGATGGTTTGGGAGCTGTGTCTTCCCATCCTCTCTATCAAACCTCTTGAGGAGCCCTTGGATCGAAACATGTCTCTATGTGCTGTTGCCTCATACAAGGGAAACCCCGGCTATGTACAGAAATAGTAAGCTCTTTCTTGGAGTCTACATTAGCCCATAACAAGAAACCTTGTAAACATTGAGAGCATTGTAGACTTCTAGGTTTCCTGCATATCTCTACAAACTTTTTAATATGCTTCGTTGTAGTAAGAAGAAGTAATCCTCTCTAGAGGTATGTTCAGTTTTTGTCTTTGATATACCTAGATTGGTCTCTTTTCCTCGTGATCGTGAAGTGCCCGGTTTTGAGGACCTTTTTGGCGCTTCTGGAGCAGACATAGCAGCAGTACCACCACCAGAACTCCAGGCCCAGCTCGCAGCCGTCATCCGCTCCCTGTGCGAGGTGAAAATAACTACATTCTTCTTCACCTGCACTATTGTCAAATATGATACAAGTATGTACTAGTGGTGTGGCTCTCCTTAATGTACTTGCGACACGACTCCTCCACTATTGGAATGACTCGAAATGTGGTTGTAGCTCCGTGTGTGTCTTTATTAATGGAAGTAAGTATCTTGCAGTAGCTGAAATGGACAGTCAATAGCGATTGGGACAGTGACACAAGAAGATTCCATGCTTCTGTCCCATACGATGATATGTTCTGATTTTAGGCCGATACGCCTACCCCTGCATACCGTGGGCCCTGTAAGCTATTATGGCCCTTAGAAACGAGTGGGTCTCGGTGTCTCTACCATGGATATGGATGTCAGTAGCGGGTACAGTCATGCAGGGAAGAACGGCAGAATCCGATATAAAGATAGACAGGACATGGTTTAGCATCAGGGCTACAGTGGGCTCTTGCATAATTCCTGGCTTAATAAGTCAATATCTCATTACGGACTTGACCGAGTGGATGATACTGTGTGGTTCAATATGGTTGAGAGACAATAGGTTCAGAGGAAATGGAAGACGAGTTTCCAAGGACCGATTGCAAGCGTGACTGGCTTACCTAACACGGCGTTTGACAGACGACTCTCCACGCTGTTGTACATGCTCATCATAAGCCTGGAGCGCGGAAATGTCATCGTTGGTCTTCAGCTCGCAGTACTTTTTCGCGATGTCTTTGTAATAGTCTTCCATTGGAGTCATAACACCCACTCGGTCTGGCCGATCCGTTTCTTCTCTTACGTATCAGGGTATCCATCGCTAGAAGATACAGCACATGTCTTCAGGCGAAGGCTTGGACTGGTCGACAAGGCTTGTCTCAAGACATGGCGGCACCGAAGCACGACGAAGTCTACCTCGGCAATCCTTGTCAGGCTTCATCTGGCGGGCGGGAAGACGGCTATGCGGCACCTCGAGAGATAAGTTCGTGCAGTCCCCCCATACAACGCCTCATCCATCATCAACTTTGTCGCACGCTGTGAGGGCGTGGAGCTCCCACGGGGTGTGAGGAAGAGCTGTGATTGGCTGAAACGATAGCGCATTCGTGGGTGGAAAGAGCGATCTGGGGTTGTCAGAAATTTCGAAGGAACGAGGCCCGTCTTGGTCCAAGTCTGGGCGGACTGGGCGCCAAGGGAACGTGGTACAGAGATGGACTCTCGTTCGCTGACCTGGACCACACCCGACCAAGGCGATGGCGAAGAGGAGCGACGAGGCACGGCGGAGACTTAACGCGTCAAAGACATGCTATGCAGGTTGGCCAGTTCTTGGAGACCCATTACAATCTTCTGCACCAATCGCGTGCCCCGTTGCCCACTATGGACAGCGCGGAGCGGCGCTGGAGGGTCCAGAGAATACCAATTTGTGGGCTTCAGACCATGACCGGAGCTCGATAGCATGATACTGTGGCTTCGGTGATCCACCACGCCTCGATGGGGCAGGCAACACCGTCAGACGTCCACAAACGCTCACTGCTAGTGAAATATCATCTCGCCGCCAAGATCCCACCCATCGGAATCCATACTGCCTACTTAAACTCCCATGCACTCGACCAGTTGAAGATTTCCTCTCCCAGGACACCTCACAAACACTCAGCCTTACCAGTCAATCGGCGCAACTGCTCGCCGCCCTCGTCTTACAATGGCTCCCGCCTTGAAGAAGTACGACTGGATCCTAGCCATCACCACCATCGCTTTTCTTGCATCGTCAGCCTCGAACGGTGCTAACGATGTCGCCAACTCATATGCCACGTCCGTGGCTGCGAGAACGCTGAAGATGTGGCAGGCTGGTATTCTGGCCTGTTTCACTGAGTTCTTGGGTGCCGTTGCTCTCGGATCCCGAGTCACTGGAACTATCAAGAGCGGTATCTTCGCCCTGGACACCTTCAAGCCTGTGCCTGCTACTCTCATGCTCGCCATGGGATGCGCCGAGGTCGGATCCGCTGTCTTCCTTACTGTCGCTACCATTGCTGGTATGCCTGTTTCGACTACTCAGACCGTTGTTGGAGCACTCGCTGGTGCTGGTATCGCTGCTCAGTCTCCCCTCAGCTGGGGCTGGAAGAAGGGTTCCATCTCCCAGATTGCCGCCTCGTGGGTTATTGCACCCTTCCTGTCTGCCGCATTCGCCGCTGTTCTCTTCTTGACTATTAAGTTTGCTGTCCACAACCGAAAGGACCCCTTTAAGTGGGCTTTGCGCCTGATTCCATTCTACCTGGCTTTCACCGCTGGTGTCCTCGCTCTCTTTATCATTGACGAGCTGCCAAACGGCGAGTCTCTCGAAGAGATGGGTGCTGGCAAAGCCTGCGGTATTATCCTCGGAGTCTTCTTCGGCATGCTTGCCATCTCCTACATCTTTTTCATCCCCTACTTCACCCGCCGCCTTGTCAAGGGTGACACCAGACTGAGGGCGTGGCATATTCCCCTCGGTCCTCTTCTGTACCGTGAGAATCCTCCTATCTATTTCCCCGGCAAGGGCGACCAGATTGTCACCGACTACTACGCCAAGTCAGCGCCTGTCGCCACAAGCGAGCAAGAGAACCTCAAGGGCGAGAAACCTATTGGCCACTCAACCTCCGTCGACAACAAGTCTTCAGGTGACAGCGACAACATCGATGTCGAAGGTGGTCGCGGTCTGTCTCGTCCTCTTCCCCGCGATGGGGCCGTTGCCCACATCGTCCCAGCTAAGCCCGAGCCCGAGGAGCGCTGGTTGAAGCCAGTCGAGCACCTCCCCGTCTACTCCCCCAAGAAGATCATGAACTGGACCAAGTTTATTCTCCTCCAGGGTGTCTCTCGTGACGTTGTTACACAGAAGGATCTCGCCGATGTCCACTCTCGCGCCATTGTTTACGATAACCGAGTCGAGCATCTCTGGACTTACGCTCAAGTTGCCTCCGCTATGATGATGTCTATTGCCCACGGTTCCAACGATGGTAAGTCAAAATTCCTGTATCTTGCACCTTGATGCATCTGCTAACCTCACATCACAGTTGCCAACGCTGTCGGACCCTGGGTTGGTTCATACAACACCTACACCACTGGTGTCGTCACCAAGGAAGCCGACACTCCCATCTGGATCCTCGTCGTCGCTGGTCTTCTTCTCGGTCTCGGTTTCTGGTTTTACGGATACCACATCGTACGCGCTCTCGGTAACAAGATCACCCAAGTCTCTCCCACCCGTGGATTCAGCATGGAATTGGGTGCCGCCATCACTGTCCTCCTCGCCTCGCGTCTCGCTCTCCCTGTCTCCACCACCCAATGTCTCACTGGTGCCACCATTGGTGTTGCGCTTTGCAACTTCGATCTCAAGGCCGTCAACTGGAAGCAAGTCGGCTTCATCTTCTCCGGGTGGATCATCACCTTGCCGGGTGCAGGTCTCATCTCAGGTCTTCTGATGGTTATGGCGCTCAACACGCCCCATTTCTAGACGCTGTTTGCCATTGTTCCTAGTTTTAGTTTTGACATCTTTCTTGTAACGCGAAAAGAACGCATGGGTTAGGGTGCATGATATGAGACGGATGATACCAATCGTTTACTGTACCAAATTGTAATCTATAGAGTACACACAGTGAGCCCCCAAGACTGATTGAAGTGTGATGATCGCGCGACCCCGAAGTATAATTTGAGGAGATGTTGTCTTTCGGCCGAAGGCGCCGTGCCTAGTTTGATGTACGAAATTAGTTGATGTTGATGTGCAGTTCGTACATTAAAGTTACCTACTATGCCAGCAACACATGTTCAGCGGACAACGGATCGACGGACCGGAGCTTCACGTATGTTGTTGCCTACAGTATTGTTGTATGCAGTGGGAGTGAATGTTCTTGTTTTGCACATCAAAACACAGTGCTAGGTATATCAAGCCACAAACTAGTCTTCTCAAGGCAAGAATGTAGCCGGAGAATACCGATTGTGGCTAAGCGGATACGAAGAGTCGGTCTTACTCTCGGTCTTTTCCTTGTCTAGAAGTTGTTGATTCACTTTCAAGACTTCTCGATATGTAGTAGAGCTGGGTTTCACGTTGGATGCAGAAAAGTGCAAGGGTAGAGCAGCAAAAAGCTGCAAGAGATATCGGTATTCCCGTAACGGTACAGAAACCTGTACAACATATCATGGCCCAGTCTAGCTTGACCATGCATGCATGAAGCAACTCCATACGCCCGTCGCAAAATACCACCAGCCCGAGCGTAGACAGGCTTCAGGGTCTATGCATTACATCGTAAGAGAGAAGTGGGAGAAGCGGATTAAAATAGTGATAGAATAGTAAGGGAAGCGTGGCTGCTATACGGCCTGCTTGCCCGACTGCTGAAGCTCGTTGACGAAAGCGTCGTAATCAGCGGATGAACCTGAGCCTACTATAGCTGTAAGCCATGGATCGAACTGGCTGCTCTCTCAATAAGCGTTTGGGTTGGGATAGAAGGAGGACGATGACTCAGGGTGCTGACCTTGCGGTGACTCGTCGACCTTTTGGCGCTTCTCTGCATAGTCGTACGAACCTTCAGAGCTGGCGTGCTTATTGCCAGATGCGCCGTGTTGGGCTGCCGCTGCTGCTTGCGCCGCCATCTGAAGCTCGCCAATCTGGCGCTCCGAAAGCCCGCCGTTGTTATTGCTGGAGGCTTGCTGCTGCTGCTGCTGCTGCTGCTGTGGTTGCTCGGGTTGTTGGGGCGGCTGTGGTGGTTGCGGTGCTTGGTGCATGTTTGGTTGCTCGTGTGGTCGGTTGAGATCTACACCGGCCGGCGCAGGTGGTATCTCGCCTTGAGTCTCAAGCAATCGCGATTGCAGGTTGATGATATAGTCGCGCAGTTGGTAGTTCTCGGTTTGAAGAGTCTTGTAGAGTTCGCATAGCTGCTCAAACTCCTTGACCTGATCCTTAAGCTGTTTGATGTACTCTTCCTTACGCTGGCGAAATGCGCGCTGGTGATGTTAGTGCGGAGCATAGGAAGGCGCGCGCAGTGGGCATACCTGGGCAGCGCGATTCTGGGCGGCGCGCTTCGAGGTCGACAACTCTCGCCGTCCCTTGGAGCGGCCTTCACTCGTGTTCCCATCGTCAGGGCCGCCTTGGCTCATGTCGTAGGCGGAGCCCCCAATAGCTGGGTCGATGGCGTGTGGCGGGCCAGCAGAGTGCGGGTGCTGGGAATGTTGGGGGTGTGGAGAATGCTGTGGGAGAGGCTGCACGCTGGGCTGTCCAGCGCCGGCAGCGAGCAGATGTTCTCTTAAGCCTTCATGACGATACGTGTTAGTAATCGGCAGTAGGGTACGGATGCGGGGGGGCCACTAACTCATCTCTATGGTCGGCTTGGATTGATCCTGAATTGGCATGTCAGCAGCGCAAGGCCTGAAACAGTCAGCAGAGCTTACCTGAGCGGCCGATGCCTGCATGTTATACCCAGTGTCAGTTTGGCTCGAGGGATACAGGATTTGGCTCATTCAAGGCGCGTCGGACGGGAGCACCGCGGCGAGGGTGTTGTGGCGTTGATTAGACAGCAGCGTGCAAACGGGCCTGGGATGTTATTTCGCAGTGCTAGGCCAAAGCGAGACTATATGCGCAAGAGGGCAGCTGGGTGAAGCGATGTTCCTTCGGCGTGGTCGGCCGGTGAGGGTCGTGATGGTGGTGACGTCGCGACAATGGGGCCGTCGACTATGGGCAGGCTGCAGTGCGTGAAAGAGGACGCCTGTGCTGGAGAGTCAGCTTGATCCGTCGCAGGCGCCAAGACATGCGCGCAGTTTTGCGACAGCATCTTGGTTGCGCGTCTCGTGTTGTAGGACGATGGGGCAGCTCACCTGTATTGTGACGATGCAGTTGGTCGAAATGTGGATTACGCAGCTTTGACTAAGAAGAGACAGACCTCGGGGCGATGGCGCTATATGTAGGGCGGCACCGTCGGCCTCGCGGGATCTCTCCACGACGACGACAATGCAATGCCTCGCTGCACTCCGCCCTCCTCATCACCACTCGCCGGAGCCAGCTGCATGGAAATGAACGCCCTGCTGCCATATCCTGCCTGACTTCGGCAAGGTTCCGACGAGCTGTGCACTCCATCCGACCATCCACCTGCTTTTTGCGACGCTGATTGCTTACCAATTCCCCGACCCCGACTGTCTGGTAGCTGTCGAACACACCTTAATCTCTTTGGGGCTAGTTTCGCCATGCCTGATTACTGTATACGGGACATATATGTTTTCAGATCCGAAGGCTCCGTAGATACCAAATGCAGGAGTTGTTGCGCCCTGAGATCAGGATATCTACTGCTGCACCACGGTTTCTTGCTGCCAACCCCCCCTTTTGCTGATGCTTTCTTGCCGTGATGAGTGCTGTGACGACTTCCATCTGCCCCTCCAAGCGCATATGCAGCATCAGCAGATCATCCACTCCCATATTCTTGTCATACTCCTTCCAACTTACCTAGTTCCCTGCACGAGCTTTGGCATTTCACAGCATCAAGCGTCCTGCTGAACTTATTGGCAAATATTTGGCCGTTGGGCGATTTTGGAGATGCTTGGTCCGAGCGCATTTGCAAGGCGCATCGCAGTAATCAACTCCCACTCCGCTCCTGATTCTGCAACGTCTTTGCATCTGCTGTGCATCTTGCAGTCAACGATTTACTGCTGATCGTACGCTATCAATTCATTGACCGCTGTTTGCTTTCCATCACAGAACGGACCCTTGTTCATCTATACCCCGGTATCTGCGATCAGAGTCGTCATCAACACCAGAAAGTGCATCTACACAATGACAAGGCCTCGAAATCTAGCTCGGGCAATCCCGTAAGTCTAGCAATTACTTTTCCGCCACTAGTAAACAAGCCAATCCCTCATCTGACCTGCGCCATGACACCCGCCTTGATGACCTCAGAACTCAAACACGTCTAACCTACGAGCCGCAGCCAATCGTTCCAGGCGTTGTGCGAGCGTCGCTGTCGCACCAAAACGTCTTTGCTGATCCGCCGCGAAACAAATGTCCGGCCGAGACAGGCTACTACCATACCTCACACGAAACACGCACTCGTTACGGGGTTCCGGTCACTGTCCTCAGACTCTCGTCCGCCAGCTGGTCCGGCTGAGCAGCCCAAACAAAATACACAACACGACTTAATCTATGCCGCCAACCAACCCGCTGACCTGCCTGACCGAGTACAGAAGCTCTCTTCTAGATGGAAAATCATCGATAAAAGGCGGAGTATTGAGCGCAAATTCCAATTTGCTGGGTTTGCAAAAGCTTGGCAATTTATGTCGCTGGTTGCGGACGAGTGCAAAGTCAAGAAGCATCACCCGCGTTGGACCAACGTGTATAACAGGGTCTCAATCGAATGGACTACTCACGATCCTAAAGGACTAAGTATCAAGGATGTTGAGATGGCTGAATTTTGCGATCGAAAAGCAGCCGAGGTTGAGTTAAAAGTGTCACCATTTTGATGTAGCTAAGATCTAGATAAATTGACGATTTTCCGAATGATCTGCACCAAGAAAATGCCGATGGATCGACGAACCCGACATTACCATTGGTCAGTGAAGAGGACCGCCGGACGCGGAGATACCGTACCTCCATGCTCCAAACGAACTACGTGAAAGGGCCGGCTTATCGAACCCAATGGCGAAATGGCACTTGCTCAACTTCTTACATGCTTATCACTATCTAACATGCCGTTTTCTCACTGACCCACGGGTCCATTAGCACTATTGACACCCAGACTCCTGTATAGCATTGTGATGACTGATCAGAGTTTCACTTTTGTAAACAACATAGTTATATAATGAGGCGATGGTGGAACAAGATGAAATGAAACAGGTGGAACGTCAGAGTAGTTCTTGTTTTGTAAAGCTCGCCAACCATACACCTTGCTTACTTAGGAAAGACCGTCCTTTAATAGACTGGTCTGTATTAACCCAGTTCATGGTGACCAGCTATAGTCTGCTTCCTCTTCTCTGAGCTACCCTCGTCACTCGAGTCATATCTGTCCTGCCACTTCTCTTCAGCACCCAACTACCACACCGACATCGTCCACAGCCACACTCCAGCCACTCTCATCCTCTACGCCATCACCTTGCACACTGACCGCAACCGAATGGCCAACACCTGGAACCACATCTTGTACCGTGACCTTGCCGCCGACCCTCTTCCAACCTTTGTTCCCAACTCCCAGCTGAACCTCTTGTCCACAGCTGACCCCATCTAGGAAGATCTCAACGCGCGTCTGTCCACTCGGCCTGCTTCCCCTGACCCATGCGTAGCAATCCACCGTCACACCGGTTGGAAGATCAATGTAAGACTGCGATAGCGTAAGTGTCGCAGTCACTTCCGAGCTATTCGATGTCGCAGCATATACGTTGGAACCCGAGTGTGCGCCAACACGGGAAGGGGAGGTAGAGATGCCGCGGGAGTACCATGAGCCTGTCACCATGTCCATCCATGGGGTCAACAAAGGAACCTCGAAGGATGGGTTGGTGAGGGCGTTTGCACAGGCTCTTGCAAAGAGGGTCTGCTGCGGCGACGGAAGTGCTGTGGCTTGAATGGGTGAGAAGGCGAGGGTGGCGCATACGAGAAAGACTACGAGCCTTTGAAGAACCATGATGGTGGGTGTCGGTTGTGAAGAAGTTCTGTACGTCTGTCAAACGTTTGGAGACCTTATGTCTCGGTTGCTGAGTGGACTCGGTGGTGGTAGTGTTTTCGAGTTCGTGAGCGTTACCGATAGTCAAGGAAAGGTGATCACGAGTGAGACAACACTCAGATGGCTTGTGTGACGTGACCAAGGGAAGCCTATCGACACCTTCCAAGTGCCTTTACTTGATTTTGGCTTGATAATCTTTTGAGGATTTGCGTGGAACGTTGGCGCTAGTAAGGATGGGCAGGTGTTCTGCAAGTGAGTCGACAATCAGGACGATTACTGATTCCGTTTGCTTGAAGGCCGAATTGACACAAGTGAAAGGTGAGGAGAGAGAAAAATAGTGAGACCCGTTCAAGTCATTGCACCTGCTGCAGACATGTAGCATTGCTGGCTCTTGTTACATTCATCAACACAAAAAAGCACACTCCAGTTTGCGATCATGTCGAACAAGCTCCAGCTGGCAGGGCCAAAACCTGATCGAATGAAGCTAAGCCATCGCGCAACGGTTTTATCTACGGTACGGTGCAGGAGTAAACACAAAGGAGATATTACTAGTCTTGTAATTGATAGGGTTGGACGGCTGGTTGAGGCGAAGGTGGCGTAAGTCTAAGCGAAATTCACGGGGCCGTTGCGCAGCCGCTTGGCACCACTCCCCATCACTGTACGGGTAAACACAACAGTCGCGCTATGTTACAGCCCAAAGCTTGCTCCAGATATCGGAGATTTTGCTGGCAAGCGATCGAAACAGGTGGGAATGATTGGCGAGGTTGGGGAGTTTTGATCAGGTTTCTTCGAGCCTATGGGGATGTGTTTCACTGTAGTCCAGCAGGGACTGGGTTATGTGAACCGAGATAGAAAGGAGATCTAGAACTAAGAAAAGAAAAAAAAGGAGAAGTGGTAATGTTTGGTCGGAATGATGTTATTGGATCTTTGTTAGGCCTGTGGGGGTTTATCCTCCCAAGCCTTTGCTCATAGCGGCGTACTTTTGGGGTATATAGAGAGCCACCGAAGTCAACCTATATGGCTGTCGAGGGCCGTCGGGTACGCTTCTGTTGCATACTGATGCATTTTTTAAGTCCGCCTCAAACGCCGACCGTGCAAACCGTAGCCTCATGTCGTCATACTGTAAATCGTGTCGCTCATGCAGGCTGTTCGTATGCCCTCTTGATGACCCTTGCGAATTCTGCCAGGTTTGTTAGCAGCTGATTGGTGGTGCTCAGTATGTAAATAAACTTACGATCAAACTTGACATTCTCGCGGACAACGGTGCCCTTAGCCTCGTTGTCCTTGTTGATTGGTACCTTGATCTTGGCACCATCGATGTTCCATCCACACACGCTTCCGACGAAGTTGTCAAACTCGCTTCCGGAGAGGTTCAACCATGACTCTAGGATGCTTCGGTCGACCTCGCGTACCGCTTGGCTGACAGTCGCAGCAATTCGTACGCGCATCAACTCCTCGAAGCCTGATACGTCGGCAATCAAGTCGGCGTACAGGTCGTCAGAGTCAAGTGTGGACCAGAATGTGGCGTAGTCTGCACCTTCGAGCAGATTCCTGAGCTCGTTGAGCTTCTGGACAGCTTCTGATAGCGGGGCATCGCCAGCAGCTGGGTTGTGTAATGAAGAGGAAAGAGGAGCTAGGACGTGTGGGGGGAGGAGAGACAGACCCAGGGAGAAGTCGGGGCTGGGGAAGACGGTGAGGGCCTTGACGAGGATGTTGGTGATGGTCTCGTCACGGGCGAGGTGGGGGTTGAACTGGTAACTGCAGCATCGTGGTTAGTGAGATGCAACGATGATACTGGAGGTACAATAGCAGAGGCAGAAAGCTGTCAGATAGAGCTAATAGTAAACTTCAGCGGGTGGGGGGATTCAGTCCCCATCCCTCGGGTAATAGGAAACGTTGTGGTTGTTTATTCATCTTGTAGCATAGGAAAGATTGAGTGGAGGGGGGACGTACAGCTTCAACAGGGCGAGGTTGGCGTAGCAGTCGTACGTCTGGTTCTCGCACTGCTGCATGACATAGTCCTGGAAGACACCCGTCGTCTCTGGGTTGTAGCGATCCAGTCCATCGAGGATCTGCTGCATGTGATCCGGCCGCTCAGGCGCGAAGTCGAAGGGGGCGCCCATGGTGGTTGTGTGGATGAGCGACGAAGAGTTGGTGTCGAAGGCTTGGTCAAATTCGCTCAGTGCGACGAGACGGCGCATTGGCCACCGGGCAGCCCCGCGTCATCTTCAAAAAAGTTAGACCCCGCCAAAACAATTGATTGCGACAAGATCTACCAATTTACACCACCATGGCGCCATACGACAGCGACTCCTCTGACGGCGGCGATGACTATACCGAGACAAATGTGCTGCTGGGTTATGCGACAAAGGACGCAACGGGCGACGCAGTTTCCCACATCGGAGGTGCACCGGTACGCACAATGTCGACCTAGCCAGAAGTCTGTCTAATCATCATAGTAGGGCTGGATAGATGAGGCGACAGCCCCTTCTGGCGCCTTAGCAAAGTGCAAAGTCTGTAATGGCTATCTCAGCCTCCTCCTCGAACTCAACGGCGACCTTCCTGACCAATTCCCTGGTCACGAGCGGCGACTGTATATCTGGACATGTCGGCGCAAACCATGCAGAAGGAAGGAGGGTAGTGTGAGGGGTATTCGTGGAGTGCGCATCGCGAAAGGCGCGAGCAGTAAGGCCACTACTGCCAAAGTCGACAAGAAAGAGGTCAAAGAAGAAAAGCCCCAGCCCAAGATAGGCGAGTCGCTGTTTGGGGTCAAGAATGGGACAAGTGCATCGACGCCCGCGAACCCATTCTCGAACCCCTTCTCGTCCAAGCCCAATGGTGCGGCATCGGCGAACCCTTTCTCTTCGGGAGGAAGTGCAAATCCCTTCGGCACATCCAGCCCTACACCCGCGGTTCAAGTTAGCGAGCCTGAGGAGAAGAAGTATGAAGTCTCCACGACTTTACCGGAAACTTTCGCGTCCAAAGTTCGGCTGTCTTCACCACCTCCGTCTGAACAGCAACCCCCACGTCCACATGAGCCATGGCCAGCAGACTCGGCCTTCCCTACGCCGTTCCCACACTACCACCTGGACGCCGAATACGAGACGCTAGACGCTCCTTCAGAACCATCAATACCAGCAAACGTGCGGGTTATGGATATGGAGACTGAAGAAAGCGGGAAAGGTGGTGGAAAAGAAGACAAGGAAGTATTTGAGTCGTCCATGGACAGGACGTTCCAGAAGTTTGCAGATCGTATTGGGGAGAACTCCGAGCAGGTGCTGCGTTATGAGTACAAAGGCAAGCCGCTTCTGTACAGCGACAACGATGCTATTGGCAAGCTTCTGGGACCACATTCGGAGAATGGTACAGCGTCGAACGCAAAGATCAAGACAACGGCCTCACGAGGTGGAGCTGGCTTTCCTCGATGTTCGACGTGTGGGGCGGATAGGGTCTTCGAGGTTCAGTTAACACCACATGCAATTACCGAGTTGGAGGCAGACGAGATGAGCATCGATGGCATGGAATGGGGCACTATCATTATGGCAGTATGTAGCAAAGACTGCAAGCCCAGCGACGTCCAAGAAGGCGAAGTCGGCTATGTGGAGGAGTGGGTTGGGGTCCAATGGGAGGAGGTCGCTTCAAAGAAGTAGGAGACGATCACGTAAAATATCAGACGAACGATGACTTGAACGATGATCTCGATACCCCACGCTTACAAAGGAGCTCGTTTTTTTAAGGAGTAGTATACTCAGCTGTACTGCACCCAAGAGGTATATCATGTATTTTGTGCATTTTAGTGTTGGTATAGAATGCAGCGTATACCTTGAGGGAAGACTTGAGTATAGAGTACCCCTCAGTAGGGAAAAGCTCCTTCGTACAAGTTTCAAGCTGCTACAGCCGCTGCTACAGGTGCAGCCACCCTCGTGATTTGATCGCCTGCCCTGACGACACCATTGCCTTTGGTGTCTTTACCAGCTCTCTCAGCACCTGTCTTCCAGACTTCGACTTCCTGACCGCCCCGCAAGATACCAACACGCATAGTCGACAACAAATTATGTGCTGCGTTCGAATGTTCATACACACCGCCATTGAATACCGCGGTACCATCCTTGCCAATCACACTCTTGATCAGTGTCTTGCCACCAGGATGATCAGCAATGAACGGTGAAACATCGTGGATGACTCCAGCGATAGCCACCAAAGCGGCGCCGTTGGCGGAAGCCTGGGCTTGAAAATCGTCCCAACTGATGACTGGCAATTGAGCTAATGGGAGACCCCAATCAAGCTTCGATCGCTTTTGGTCGAGTGCTTTCTGTTGCTGTTGAAGTCTGCCTTTCTCAATCTCATTAGAGCGAAAGGTCTTCAGGTCGTATGTCAGTGGAAAGAGAGGAATTATGGACATGATCCAGATGAGCCATTTTGTCGGATCGTATTGATACCAGGTTATTGCGTTGCCTTGATCTGTTGTTAGTATCGTCACCCTTATGACATCGAAAAGACATGGACTTACGGTAGTCAGACGGAAACTCATGGTGGAAGTTGTGGTATCCTTCGCCCATAGTCACCAAAGCGGTCAACACGTGATCCCTTGGAGATCTCCGGTCGTCGAATGGCTGCTCGCCGATCCAGTGCGCGAGACTGTTCACACAAAACGTAGCTTGCTGTACGAAGCACGCCCTGATGATGCCCGCATACACAAAGCCACCCCACCAGTCTCCCCAGCCCAAACCTGCTACCATCGCAGGGAAGATCCAGGCAGCAAAGAGAAGCATTTTTCCATAGTGCCGGTGCTGAAACACAACGATCGGGTCGTTGTCCAAATCGGAGATGTCCGTACGACCTTTGACTTTCGGGTCGTTGTTAAGAACCATCCAACCGATGTGAGAAAACAACAGGCCTCGCATAACCGAGTATGGATCTTTCATCGTATCTGTCCACCGGTGATGCGCGCGATGGTTGGCGCTCCACCATCTTATGCTACCTTGGATTGCTCCTGCTCCTGTAAAGGCTAAGAACAAACGTACCGGAAGGCGCGCAGAGTAGCAGCGATGGCTCCATAATCGATGATATCCACCTGTGATACCGAAAGCGGTCATGAAGTAGTACAGGATGCTCCATAGCAAAGTTGGTCGAGTGAGAGGTGTCGAGCGTGCCAAGTAGAGGCCATATGTCGGGACTAGAACGACGAGAGTTGTGTTGAGCCAGTTAATCTTCTTGTACCAATTTGCGAAAGTGACTGGTTGAGCAGATATATGTAGTTCTTTTGGAGTGGGGGGTTTTCCCGTTGAAGGGTCAGGACCGGCCATGACGGACGACGTGAGCTAGTCAATCCCACACGAAGTAAAAAAGCGGAATGCAAGGTAGCCTACTCTTCCAAGCACGATAGCTTGGTATATGTACCTCCAGCATCTTCGACCGGAACATTCCGAATACACCAACTGTTGGCCTAAATGCAGGGCAGAACGTGGTTCTTTCAGCCCCATTGTCGGTCAAAGGCAACGTGCGTAACGGCGAGACGGTCACGCCAAACCCCCCGATCCGGATTCCTCGGGTGTCGTGTAGTTTCTACAGCTCTAATGCCATTGGTGGAGCGGAGTGGTGGACTGAGGTTGATGAAGTTTACAATGCCGTGTATGGTTAGACGCATGCAGGAACGTGGCCGTTCTTCGGCTGTCTGATACCTACCTAGGTGCTAGCCTGTTTCTGGTGAGGGATGCGAGTTTTCAGGGTAAGATGCGACAGTCTTGGCGCGGACTTCATGCCACCTCTCAATTCTTGAAATCCGTGGCATATCCGCTTCTTTATGCGCGCTGCTGACGGCTATGCTTCTTTCTATGTTCAATCGCAAATCACAGTGGACGACTTCCTTATGAGGCTGGTAACAGCCATACCCTTTTCCGTGGCTAATCACGAATTCAAGGGAATACTTATACCTCTTTCCATGTTTAATTGCGATTTTGAAAAACAACTATACTCCTTTCGATGGTTTCTTGCGAGTCAAAGGGTATAGACAGCTCAGTGGTGCAGATTTATCGCAAAAGGGGCCTAAAGCTTGATAACTTTCTGAAACTCTCTAGTGATTACAGGCATGTGAAGTATTTCTTAGCCTGCGCTGTCCCGTCCTAACAAGCAACTGGGCTGAATTCCTCTATTGTTCCTTACTCTGGAGTCTTGCTTTACTTGAGTGGTTCTGAGAGTTTTTGAACGACCACAGATTATTTGAGGGCGACTGTACAATGCGACGTCGGCGCTTCAATACAATCCATGCATCCTCTCCAGTGTCCAAATCTTCCCCGATTGCCCAATCTTTCGTTCGAAATCTCATCATCCTTGCTAGCACCTGTCTTCAATTTCCTCAATGTGCCCGACAGCACTCATAAGGCTCCACACGTCCTGTTCGCCTTGAGCCTTCACCCTTTCCATTAAGCACTGTACAAGGTCCCTGAATATACGGCCCGGAGTCTCTACCATCTTCAACGTATCGTAGTTGGTCTGACGAGCAAATAAGTCAACGAACAATCGTCTAAGGGCACAAGAACGAGTTGTCTTCTGGTACGCCACAAGCATTAGCTGATGACGAGACTTGTCCGTCATTCTCAAGCTGCATTCGATGATTTCTTGACGCACGACTTGCAAGAATTCGATGTCTTCGAGAGTTTCGCCCACCTCGTGCACAAGAATCAGTCGGAAGCAGCGAAGTTCGTGATCTCCCTTGTCCGCCTTATAGACTGGGATAGTGTGTCCGTAGAGCCACTGGACGTATACGTCGAAGCCATCAGCATCCATATCATCAAGACTTGTGGTATCAAGAAAGTCCGACAGGATCCACTTTGAACGGCATGTGGGACAAGTGCTGTTGTTCTCGTACCATTGTTTCATACAATCTTGATGCAGATTGTTTCCACATGTCTTGCAGTACGTCAAGGTTTGGACCAAGGCATCAAGATATTCGTGACAGATGATGCACCCACCCTCAACGTCTTTACGCACAGTCTGGAAATGGTTCTTGAAGAAGGTGGATTGCTTGCAAAGCATGTCCTCGTGTGCTGAAAACTGGCGACGCTTTGGGCCTACATGTAGGCGAAGGAGTCTACCACCAAATCTGAACTCATTAGTATTCGACGATGATAAGAGAAGATGGATTGCTTGCAAGATAGGTGAATGCTTCTTCGCCTTGCTGGCTGTGCCGCGAGCTTGGCCGACAGTCATTGGACCTTGCGTTGGTTCGACTCTTCAAGCTCTTATGCTGACAATGAGAACAATTCCCAAGGAAGCCGAGTCGTTGCGTGGTAAGTTAAGGGTCTGGTAAGAGTGTAGTGCCGAAGCACGAGTGAGACGAGCCACTTTCTCGCGGCCCCAAAATAAGCTTGTAAGCTCATCACGGGGTGATAGAGACGGGGAAGACGCTGCGATGAAGAGAAAGTGAGGAGTGGTGAGGTGAGATCTAAGCTTTAAGGATCTAAGCTCGCGTAACCATGGCTTTGCAAACAATCTGTACAGCATCATTGCTTTCTGGGACCGTCGCGCCTTCCTTGAGCTCTCACCGTCTGCACCACTAGCATTACTAGCCCATGTCACGTCGAACGCGTGTACACTTCCCGTAGAGCTACGTCATCACTCTTCATGATCATCATTCCTCGTCAAACTTCATGCTCGCCACTTCAAATTCGCAGAATTCATCGCTCCTCGGCGCCTAGCGCGCACGACTACTGTACCTATAGCTCGTATATCATGCCAGTAACTACAAGACTCAAACAACAGGAATTACCATCCTCGACATCTGACAGTCGCCTCGAATTAGAAGTCCGACGCACTGCAAAGATGACAACTCACACTGACACTGGCCCCATGGACATCAACTTTGGCAAGCTTCCAACCGCCATCGCTAGCAATAATTGCCCGGTATCACCTGGAAAGAGCGATTCCGGGGATAGTAACAAGAGCACTCTTTCCTACACCGATGACTTTGAGACGCTGCCTTCAAGTGGCCCGACGAGTCATGCTCATATCATCGACCTTCGGGAGTACGCTACATCTATGAAGGAAGAAGGGACACTCAAACTTCAGGATGCGATCGCCACCACTCTATTTAACGTGTCACTAGCCACGCTCAGATCCTTCGTCAACCCCACAGTCAGCGCCTTCAAGGCTGTGTTTGGTACGAAGGATGTACAGTTGGTCATCTGGCGCAAGGGTCTCGAGGTCTTTGTAAGTCGTCACATCTTCTGCTAAAGCTACATCTACTGATGTTCTTGTAGATTGGCACTTTCGAACACCACAAGTCAATGAAATTATACCGCTTCGAGCATGTCGCCGGCTTCTTGACCGGCTACGATGGATCTTGGCACCTCAAGGTCACGGCTAGCAACGCCTACTCCGCCCCCAAGTGGCCAGATGTTTGGGCTGGCAAGTTCGAGTGCCACGGTGGTGTTACGAAGATGACGATCGAGAATGAGGAGGTGAACATGGCGAAGCGAGCCTCTATCTTGGCATTAACAGTGATTAGCGGCAGGTATTGGGAGCTGAAGACTGACATCAAGATGACTTAATCGTGTGCATAGTAAGGCGCAGTAGGTGTGTGAAGCAGAGAAATATTAGCAGAAATCGTTGGGAGGATATAACCTGGGATGTATTTAAGGCATATGTCACACGATGTTTCTAGCACATGGAGCCTTGTGAGAAGGGAGCAGATAATCGCAGTATTGACATGAAGGAAGACACCTCAGTGGGTGATAATGTCTCGTACCTTGACAGAGAACTCTAAAGATGGCCAAAATATCACCCATTCAGCCGTCATACTTCTTGGTGCTTCTCAGATAAACCCTCTCTACGCTACCTTTTCATCCGACGATGATTCATTCAACACTTTTCCACGGTGAGCTTACCATCTTATTGGATGCTTCGAGTTAGTGGTGCAGTCAGGGAGGCCAGATAGATAGAACTGTATGGTGATATCCTTTTGATGTTGCAGCGAAATACAGAGAAAGGTAGACCAGAGGACGGAGGAATCAGTAGAAAGCAGGTGGATCTTTTGATCGGCTCACATCCAAGTCATTCGAAGGAGTAAAAATAAATTCATCTTATCCGACGACGCCTTGTGATCATAGCAGATCGCGTGCGTTATTCAAAACACTTGAGCGATTGATGTGGTGTATCCAACAACATGTCTATCTCTAAACTACTCCAAACGCCGGTCATCCAATGCATATGCCAATGCTAGTAACGTCAATGCGTGTATCATAGAATCACCACCTTCCGGGCCCGAAAGTTCCTCCTTTTGGCACTTCCTTGTAGGGACAGGCTTGCCAGTCACAACCCTATGAACATGTTAGCAAACTGTATCAAGAAAGACCATGTGATTGTGAGCAACCTACCTGCTTGTAGACCTCCGTACCCCACCATTTAAAGTTACTCATCCAACCGGGGTACACAATACCAAAGAAGATGACGACGACACCAAACGCAAGACCAGAGTCCAAGGCCGCGCTAAGCATCATGTTGTACTTCTTCCACCACGCGTTCTTCCGGTTCCGAATCTCGTAGTTGAAGATGTAGCAGACGATTGCCCAAACGGAGAAGTTAAGCCCAGTGGCTGGTGGAATCCAGCTCAGACTACCGAACACAACGGCGAGGTTGACTTTACTAAGGATAGATTTACGGTCTCCACGAGCGAGCCACCAGATTATGACGGGTGCAATAGCGCCAACAGGGAAGGCCCAGATCAGGTGTTGGTAGAGTGCGCCTGGGCCGAAGAACTTTCCTGGTCCAACAACACCCCAAAGTATACTTCCGTTGAAGTGTACGCGGGCGATTGGACAGTTGAAGCCGTTGATAGCCTGTGGTGTGCAGATACCTGGGATGTAATTTAGCATCCAGTTGAGCACACCAATCTGCGTCAGACTGGAAACGATGGTGACAGAAAGCTGAAGCTTGAAGAGAATTTTGGGAGGAATCTTCATGTAGTGACCAAGCTTCAGATCTGAAGCAAACTTCAGACCCTGTGTGGATGAGATATAGCCAAAGGTCGTGAAGACCATGTTTGCGACGGGCCGACCGGGGAAGACAACGCCACAGATCAGTTGGCAGATAAGGTAGATGCTACTTTGTTGGTTTGTGATGGCCATAACGATGCCGATGGGGACGAAGAGAACCGCGCCAATGCCGAGAGCTAGCAAGAGACCGTACCAGGGTAAGTGGACAGGGTAGTACTCGACGACGAACATGCCGACAGCGGCCATACTAATGCCCGTTAGAAGATACCAGGTAAGTGGTACATCCTCGTATTTGCGCATGAGACGGTTGTGCACGTCTTCCGCGGACAGTAGGTCTTCCACGTCCGGTTCTGACGTCGTGCTGGGCCTATGTCGGAGCATTGCAGGTGAGTCCGGACGATTGCTAGCATCGGCTCCGTTCACTAATGGCTGGTAGTCCTGGGCCGACTCCTTGCGGATCTCAGCCCAGGAGCGACGCCATTGTCTCCAGATATCCTTTCCGTACCATAGCCCAGTGTGCGAAAGCAGAGCGGTAAGACCGGCGAATTGCAGGGCGTAGCTCAATACGTACGTAATCGGAAGATAGACACGACTGTATTGTTTGTAGGCTTCTTCGTCGAAGAGGAAGCTCTCGGTCAAGATTTTGCTGACATCGTATGGCTTTCCACGATTGTCCCATACGGCAGATGAGAGGATGGGCATGTACGAAGAGTAAAGGACGTTCTTGTAGTCTGTATCTGTTAGCGCAGGTGATCATGATCTCTTGGAAATACTTACACATGATTGGGGCTGCGATCCACATAACCATCACAAGTCCTCCGAGGATGTTCATGGCAGCCCAGAATGGGGTGATTAAGGGAGAGCCAATGTACGCAATTTGCGCCCAATCGAAAGTCACTGGGAATAATCCAAGGCCAGACGAGATTCCGAATAGATTAGCGACGACAACACTCTTTGGCGCGAACCAGGTGATCACATTGAAATAACTCAATGCTGGGAACAGGAGACCAGGTAGGAAGTAAAATGCGACAGAGCCCAGAAATATGCGCTTGAAGAATTTCCGTGGAGCTATGGTCCAGCCATCGGCAGGCTTGTTCTCATCTTTGTGCAACGCGGTAAACATAGCAGTGGACACCAGCGTGCTTGGCCATATCATACCGCTGGGCCGGACCAAATAACGTCTAGTAATGCCGGCAAGGGAGTAGCCCAGTATTTGGGTGGAGAGGATGAGCAGTACTTGATACATGATGCCGAGGTCTTGCTTGTAGAATTTGACCTGCTCGACGATGACCTTGCGAATGTTAGCATGCACCTCACCTCTTCAATAATACACTTACATCAGTTGCAAAGGCAAAGCCGAAGGATACATTGCTGCTGACGTATACGCAACAGTGTTCCTTTTCGTTCCAGCGGCCTTGAGCAAGCCAGAGCCGTAGTCGACGTGCCCAGGTGACTTTGTTTTGTGATGATTGGGGGTGGTGTGAGGTTGTTTGAGCGCACCCATTGATGAAGGTTTCTTCAGGGTCGTCGTGTCGTTTTAGAAGCTGGTCCCATAGCAGACCGAGAGGATGAACAAGTAGTAGTGCAATAATAGGAGTAAGGCTAACGCTAGGGTATCGTAGGGAGAAGAACAAGTTGGTTGAAGAACCAGCAATGGAAAACAGAATCGACAGGAACCACATGCGTGGGGTATCAATAGACAGAGACAGGTTGTCAGTAGCAGCAACGGATGCCCTGACTTGAGCGTAGGGCGAGTTATCGGACGGGTTACCCTTCATATCGTGTAGGTCGTCGTCGGAAGATTCATTGTCGTCTAGCGTACTGCTCGAAGAGGTTGAGTTGTCAAACAGTGGCGCACCAGCTGTAGAAGGATCGAGGCCGCTGGCGTTGAACCTCGCTTCGAAACGACATTCCTCCTGGCCGCTGGAGGCTACACCAAGCGTCGTGCTGCTACGATCAGCGTCACCCGTCCTACGACGTGACTTGCTAGTGCTTGAAAGGATTGGTTCACTCCGTATCGAATCATCGTGGTTGTGATCCGAGAGTAACGTGGGTTCACTATGCGAAAGTCTGCTCTTTCCTTTTTTCTTTCTTGACTCATTGACTACGTTGTTATCATCAGACTCCTCTGGACTGGAAGAAGAAATAGGCAGGCCGCCATATGACCCTGGGGTCGAAATTAGCACGTGTAGCGAATGAGATTCCGTGCATCTTGTGCATCGTGGGACTTGTGCACGCGTCCAGAGCCGAGGGGGCGATTAACGACCATGGCGCTTGACAGCAGTCAATAGCTTGCTTACCTGTTCCCTGCGCCGGGCTCGATCTCACCAGAAGAGGTACTCTTGACATTGCCTTCTTGACGGATCGTGTAGGACTATCGGGGCGACCAGCTGGCAGATCAAGATCGTCATCAGAAGTCGTTTCGGATGTGGCTATGTTCCTTGCTTTCTTTGCTTTCCCAGGCAAAACCTGCAACTCGTAGCTGCCTTGAGAGACGGAAAGAGGGTCGTGTCGCGTGGTTCCAGAAGAAGAATGGACGGACGAGGGAGCAAGCGACGAAGATGACCCGCACCCGTCCTCGTTAGCCATATGTATGGGTGGGTGTGCGGCCAGGGGCGCGTGTACAAGTGTTCCCGTTTGTCGCGCCAAAGCGGCCTCGCGCGACGTTCGGAATCAAATGATCAGATAAAATCGCACGCTGCCATGTGTTGGGCCGTAATGTTCCCGATGATCTGATTAGATGGAAGCGCGGAAAAAGGTCCAGAATTAGATCAATGATGTATTATTACTGGAGTCATCCAATAAAGAGTGCAGTGTCGACGCAGTGTCTTCACGGTAAGCGGTTAGATCCGGGCGACGATGTGGAGTTCCCAGCGAAAAGGCTCCCACGCTCCCGCGCGCGCGAGCCGCCTGCATATCATCACACGCCTGCATGCCTCATTATCCTGGTACACTCACGGATCAACATTCTCTTGACAGCTGCATGTCCGCGCGGACGGAGCCGCAGCGTTTGCAGTCGGAATTTTACATTGTTTCTACAGAAGTGCGAATGCTCAATGTGACGTCACCTGGCTCACATCAACGTGACCCGGGATACCCACGTGGTTCTCGGCTTTGCGACCAGCGGTGAGGCCCTCAACCATTGCAATAGCGCCCTCAGTGTCGTCCTTGTTGTAAAGGAACAACCCCTGTAGCGCTGCAGTGCTCACCGAGTCGACGAGGCCCAACTCTCTGACTCTAGCCATAAATCTCTGCTTCGCTTCCCCGCCTGCATCGAATTCTGCATAGAATCGGTCCCAGAGCTGCTCGATCTGATACTCAGTTGCTTCACCGAGCCTTACCGTCATATCCACGCGGCCGGGTCGAACGAGCGCTTCGTCCAGTCTCTCGACATGATTCGTCGTCAGGAAGATGATGCGCTCTTCAGCACTAGCTACACCGTCAAGAGCGTTGAGCAGTCCAGAGAAGGTGACGGAGTGGCTAGCAAATCCGTCTGCGCCAGGCGTCTTGCGGTTCATGAATGCGACATCAACATCTTCCAGCAGCACTACCGTCCGTCGCGGGACCTTGGTCAGCAGGTGGTTCAATCTGTCGTCTGTCAGGCCGCGCTCGCTGACGTTCAGAATGGCAATATTGAAGTCAAGATGGCCTGCAACAGCTTGAATGAAGGAGCTCTTTCCGGTCCCCGGGGGCCCGTAGAGCAAATAGCCTCGCCTGTACGGTATGCCACGGTCCAAGTACCACTTGCGTGATGAGATGAAAGCCTCCATATCCTCTACGATGCGCTCCTTGACACCGCGCTCAAGGACGACGGAGTCTAGGGGCCGCTTTCGCTTAGCATCTCCAAAGGGCTGCCACATGGTACCCATGGAGTTGTATATGACAGTCTTGCCTTCCTGTGACTGTTGGTATATTTGGTGCGCCTCGGCGAAGATGTCTTCGAAGATGTCGCGATGCGAGTAGAGGGTCGTGAGGTTGATCGTCTCGAAGGGTACGCCATCCTTGACGTTCAGACTATTGCGCTCTCGCTGCCTGTCCACGAGGATGAAAGCGTTCTTGTAGCGCAGAAAGTGCTTGCCCGGGCCTGGCACGAAGGAGAAGTGGGCAGCGTGCGAGGGCCCGTCTTGCGGCGTGTACGTCTGAACTTGGAGGTGGTGCATGCGCGGGTCAATGCGATTGAGCACTCTAGAGAGGACACCATTCTGAACCAGTGGTCTAGCACCAGCTTGCTGTGCCCTGTGGTAGTTGGTCATCCATTGGAGGACCCACGGATAGGCGTCGTCATGGCGAGTTATTTCCAGGTCGACCAACATGCGGCGGCGTATGAAGGCAGCGCCATGTTGGAGACCCTTTTGGCCAGTCCGTGCCGCAACCCCAAGCGCTGCGAGACCGAAGCCCTATGGCATCAGTGAGCACATGTTCCAGAAAGCATGCATCGGCCCCAAGGTGAATCATACGGCGGTGAAGAAAGGATTGTCGGTGATTTGCGAAAAAGGAGAGCTGAGACCAGGGCTGCCACCGCCGGCAGTGATCTGCTTGGCCAGCTGGTGTTGAGGCGTGTTGGGTTCCATGAGCTGCTGAGAGGCGCGCCTGTCCAGAAATTTGATACGCCATGGACGCTAGCGCGGGAACGACGCTGCCGCGCCGCGTCCTATCATGTCGTACGGCAAACAGCCATGAGTGGTACAGCGCTCGCCTGCAACGTGGAGTTTTGATAAGGAGGTATCTTGTCACACCGTTGCCTTCATTGTGCAAACTCCGCAAAAAAGAAAAAGAAAAAAGACGTTGCTGCCGTCATGGTCAAGACGCCTGACGCAGCTGCACGAACAATCCGGGGTCGCGTCGCGGAAGGCTATCCATGGCGCTTTCCCAGCACTGCGGAGAGGTGGAGCGCCTAGGCGAGCTTGGACCTGGCGCCCCCCGTCACTGATAACTATCACAGCCTGCCCAATTCACAAAATCCTAATCCTGAACCACTCCGCGAAGGCATCTTCGGCTCGGAGCGTTTTGCTCTTCTTTGCCCTTGCGCCATGGCTACAGTAACCATAGGCAAATCCTATTTCGACGCCCTTCTACGAAAGTGAGTGCTCATGCCACTTGAACTATGGTAATGCGCCAGACTGTTTGCTGATGGATTTTGTAGGGCTGAATTCGTCAGTATTGCCCAGACAGTAGCTATCCATCCGTTCTTCACAGAACTGACTCTGTTTGACAGCATACCTCCACTCAGCCTGTCAGCTACGGCACTGATCTGTCGAATAATGTCACCATCAGCAAAGCAGAACATGAGTACATGGTGCGTGGTCTCCATGTCAAAACCGCCCAGAGTTTCCATTTTGTCTTCCTAGTCTTTCTCGCTCATTCTTATCCTTGCTCTTGCCGTCTGGATGCTAACGGTCGACTTGCTAACAGATTCAAGCGATGCGCGAATACCGTATGTACACCACTGCCCTGACTCAATACTACTTGTCTTTAACCGTGGATAGATCTCCTCAAGAGCGCCCTGTTTCGTGGGGGCCTGACGACCGAGACCTTGGAGACATTGTTACAAGGCGAGAACGGCGTTTCGAGTGACGCACCATCAAGCTACGACTACGTGTCGGAGCACACACCTGCCGAATCAAGAGTCACTCCTGTAGCTGCACCTACTTCGTCTCACTACCAACCAGAGTCGGATCACACAGCTGTCAGCCACGGTCTCCAGCCTAGACCTTCACAATCGCTCCATCGAATCGTCAGCTATGGCGTATCTGAGTCCTTCACAGGGGACCCACAAGACGACGACGACGACGACCAGGAGCCAATTTCAGGTCGCCGTGTACCACTCCATGATCAGCGAACTGTACTGATCACCAACCTCTCTGAGCGTACCACACATAAAGACTTGGCCGGAATTGTCCGTGGTGGAAGACTCCTCGACATCTTCCTCCGCAACGACCGATCTGCTACCATCTCGTTCGTTGAAGGAGCCGCGGATTTTCTGGCTTATGCAAAGCGTAACGATATCTACCTGCATATGAAGAGGGTAAGTCATGCGTCATCAGAATAAGATGACGAAAACTAATCATGTCAGCTTGAGTTCCGTTGGAGCGACCGACAGTTCCACGTGCCACCGCATGTGTCCAACAAAATTGCTTGCGGCGCCACGCGGAACCTGGTGGTAAGAGGGGTTGCAGGCAAAGTCACCACAGATCAGATCCGTGATCAGCTTGATCACATCCACAACCTCATCGTGGTTGACGTATACTTCAGAAACGGCGATGCATACGTCTCGACCAACTCGATTCACAATGCTCTGTTCGCCAGGACATGCATGATGTCGCGTAGCATATACAAAGGCACGCGCATCGAGTACTATCCAGATGAATGTGCTGGACCGTTACCTCAACCCAAGAAGACCCACATCCCCGTCGCGCGTATGCCTACCAAACCTGCGCCTGTGGTCAACCAGTATGCTATTCTGGACACTGGTTCTGACGATGGATCTGTGTCTGAAGAGGAGTCGTACAGGACCCATGGTGTGCAGGTTGATGGTTACCATTGGGCTGACGCTGTCGTAGCATAAGCGGCTTCTATGGAGGCTCGCTGCCTGCTGTAGCCCGACGTACCCCATGGGGTCGGCGAGGAGCTACAGTGTCTTGATCGGGCCTTCCACTCATCCTAAGTTCCTTCGCGTTGCGGCATTTTTCGAACAGACTAAAGTGTATCTCTTATATGAGAAGGCGTCGATCAAATTCCGAAGGAATTCTGATCCAGTGGTCAAGAACGGAGGTAATGCCGATGGGAGTGGTGATACGGATATGTTGTCGAGAAACATGTCATGTCGTATAGCTGGTCGACAGTACATTTCTCGACAGGTGTTGGGAGGAGTATGTTTCTTTCCTATATAGATACCCCTCGATTACTTCAAATCATGATCTTTGCTTACAAGGTATGACAATGTCAAACCGGAGTGCTGTGATCAGCGCTGCTTATCAAGATGTTGAGCATCCTTGACTACATGGGCAGAAAGCTTGTCTTGTTTAGCGAGCACTAGCCTTGCATTGATGTGCATGCGTCAGATGTAACTATGTCATACGTCTGATGAGGCGCACTCCAACAATCCCAACCTCACTGCAGCAATTGTACTAACCTTACAGAGTAGTATTAACATATTTCATAGTATAAGGCATGGCGCCAACGATCAAAGTGGCTGTTATCCAACTTTACCCGAAGGTATCTCATGCTTACCCCACACTGCACTACATACCTCATCATCGCTTCCTACCCTCGCTAACATCACTCAACAACTCCAACCATTTACTAATGTTGATTAGCCCTTGCAACCAGAAATTAATTTCAGCAAGGCTGTTGAGTTTATTCGCTCGGCAGCATCGCAAGGTGCTCAACTCGCCGTCTTGCCAGAGTACCACCTCACGAATTGGAAACCGAATGATCCGGAGTTCCTAGCCGTCGTTGAACAATGTGGAGGTTACCTAGAGAAGTACTGCAAGTTAGCCAAAGAGTGTAACATCTGTAAATCCCACCAACCCCTCATCTCTCCATCGACCAAACTAAGTCGTCTTATCCAGCCATCGTCCCCGGAACGATAGTAGAGTCCCACAAAGAGAACTCTGCCGAAGAAGACAGGCTCCTAAACGTGTGTTATTTCATCTCACCCTCTGGCGAGATAGCAGGAAAATACATCAAGAAAAACCTCTGGGGCCCCGAACGCGACCATCTCACAGGCTCAGGCCATTCTCCCCATGAAGTCTTCGACACGCCTGTCGGAAAAGTCGGTCTGCTGATCTGCTGGGATCTCGCCTTTCCCGAAGCCTTCCGCGAACTCATCGCCCAAGGCGCTCAGATCATCATCATCCCCACATTCTGGACCCTCAACGACTGCAACGCCGCGGGTCTCGCACGTAATCCTGCTGCTGAGGCACTCTTCCTCGACTCCATGTTGACGGCACGCGCGTTTGAGAATACCTGTGCGGTCGTTTTTGCGAATGCGGGGGGTCCGCCTGGAAAGGGATATGCGGGGTTGAGTCAAGTCACTGTGCCGTTTGTTGGAGCTTTGGGAAAGTTAGGAGGGGCGGGAGAGGGCATGTGTGTTGTTGATTTGGATATGCAAATTCTAGAGGATGCTGAGAGTAACTATCAGGTTAGGTCGGATATTGCGAGGGGGGATTGGCACTACGTGTATAGGCATTCGAAGGAGGGGAAGCTTTGAGAATCGGTGGACTTGGAAATTGTCAGTTCAGTGTGAATCCGCAAACTTCTTCACTGGTGTGTGTTTTCTGTTCGACCCTTTTGTGTCTTTGGGCTTTGAGCTTTGAGCAACCTATGCACATACTTTGGAGTCTGGATGGTTATGGGGATTTTACTAATCCTAATCTGGTAAGGTCCTCTACTGGTGTCAACAAACGTCGTGGAACCAAATTGGATGAAGTGCGCTAATCGAAAAGCATTCTGTGCGATCTAGACTAGCATCCAAACGCCTCAAAGATCGCAAGAAGTGGTATAAGACAAAAGCTTCAGAAAGACACCCAGTAAACTCTTACCCACGATAAACACTGGTAGCGATAGGGTGCCTAATCGCGCCCAGCGCGCCAGCCCCTCCCAAATTGTTCGAACGCCGATCATCTTGAGTTGTAGCGCGATTATTCAGCGCCAATCCATTGACCCGGGTCCCAAATGCAAATACATCAGCTCTTCACATGACGCGCGTGGTCTGTGGTCCTTCGTGGCCGCATGTCTGGATCCGTCTCTTGTTTTCAACTTCCGCCGCTACCACTGGCTTCACTGTCCGACCTCTCGTTCTTGCGGACGTAGCCCATCTCACTTGTAGTGACGCCGTGTTCATCCGTGCTCCAAGTCTCGCCTACGACAATGACCCTTGTTTTTCCTTTTTGCAGGAACTTCTCCTCGTCTCTTGCCAGAATAGCTGCGTTCTCTTTTGCATATATCTTCTTGTAGAACTCTTGGAAACGACGTTCGCTGTCAAAGGTCATTTCTGCGATGCAGTCACAGTCGAGCTCCATCATTTCGCCCCTTAGCATCAGAGGAGGTCGGTCTGGATTTGCCGGTCCGCCGAAACCCTTCCGGCTAATCCGCGCGAGATAGCGACGTTTGAACTCGATCGGCCAGCACGTCGCGAGGAGAGAATGGGCCAGGGGTATGTGCGTGTGCTCATAGTGGTCTCTGAATTCTTCCGATGTGAGATTGGGGTTGCGGGTGACAAAGAGGACGATGGTGTAGGTCATGATGGCGGGTAATAAGCGAGTCACAGCGCGGATATAACGATGAGGCGCTGCGACGAGAGCCGTAGCGTGGATGGTAGAGACAGTAGAGTTTTGACAGCGGCTGTGAATGCAGGTGGCTTCCAGAAGCTCCACGGATAGGGGACGGCGGGCTTTTGTAGTTTATCAGCCACATGCGATGCGAAGACATCATAACATGCACCGAGCGCGCCTAAAGCCTCCGTTATTGATTCACCATGACTGCGCGCATACTAGGGCGAAACTACGGACCCGGCGCCGTTGAATTGCATGGGCTCGCCAGACTTGCTCACACCATCGCGGTGCACCAAGACTGAGGTGGATGCCGGTGAATCGAATCAGGACGAGTGCACGATAGAGGCCAACCGTGAGGGTTGAGTGGAGTGGATTCTGGCGCGGCGCCCCTCCCTCGGTGTTGATCCCAGTCGCGCCTGCACTTGCGAGTGCTTGGGTGCTATCGATAGCAGACTGACGCTAGCAAGCGCACAGAACGCCAAATTTCGTGGCAAGGCGGGGAGCAGCACCACGACACGACATTCACCCCCCCTAAAGCACCCGTGTGCCGTCGCCCAAACGAACACCCAACATGAGTCTGCGCGAGCGTGTTCCGCCGCAGTACCAGAACGGCGAGGCTGCCAGGCGCGCCCCGGATGACGACTCAGACGTCGAGGAGGAGGCCATGGCGAACGACTACCGGGAGCAGGTCCAATACGACGGCATGGAGGACCTCGACCGCATGCCCTCGATCAACAGCAACCAGGACATCCACGCGCAACTGCAGGCCGCGGCAACCCCCCTCGAATTCCAGGCCACACTAGAGACCAAGTTTGCGAGTTACGACAGCTACTGCAACCTCTTCCACTACATCCTGAACTCCGAGGGTCCCGTCGACCTGGAAGTGCCAAACGTAAGGAATCTGGGTCAGTAGGCACATGGCAGGGCTAACACTGCGGATAGTACTACTGGGCCTGGGATGTCATCGACGAGTTCATCTACCAGTTCAATAGCTTCTGCAGCTACCGCCAACGGGTCGCCCAGAAGAACGAGAACGAGGAGGAGATTGCGCTCCTGCGCGAGAACCCAAACACATGGGGCTGCTACAGTGTCCTCAACGTCCTGTATTCGCTCATCCAGCGGTCACAGATTAGCGAGCAGCTCGCGGCCATGAAGCGGGGCGAAGATGCGAGTCTGTACGCTGGCGAGTACGGCAACAGGCCGCTTTACAAGATGTTGGGATACTTCTCCATCATCGGTCTGCTCCGCGTCCACTGCCTGCTGGGAGACTTCAGCCTGGCGCTCAAGACGCTCGACGACATTGAGCTTAACAAGAAGGCCATGTTCGCCCGTGTCATGGCCGCACACTTCACCACATACTACTACGTCGGATTCTCGTACATGATGATGCGACGATACTCGGATGCCATCCGCATGTTCAGCCACATCCTCGTCTACGTCTCACGGACAAAGAACTTCCAGAAGAACGCACAGTACGACTCGATCACCAAGAAGAACGACCAGATGTACGCACTTGTCGCCATTTGCGTAGCGTTCCAGCCCACCAGGCTCGATGACACCATCCACACTGCTCTGAGGGAGAAGTACGGCGAGCAGTTTAACAGGCTGCAGCGTGGTGGCCCTGAATCTCTCCCTCTCTTCGAGGAGCTGTTCCGCACCGCCTGCCCCAAGTTCATCAGCCCCACACCCCCCGACTTCGACAACCCAGAAGTCAACATCGACCCTGTGGAGCACCACCTCCGCATCTTTATGGACGAGGTCAAGAACAACATGATGTCGCCCACGGTCAAGAGTTACCTCAAGCTCTACACAACCATGGATCTTAAGAAGCTTGCTGGATTCTTGGAGGTTGAGCCAGAGAAGCTGAGGTGCTGGTTGCTCGTCAACAAGCAGAGGAGCAGGCAAATAAGGTGGGCCGAGGGCGGTCTGCTGGATGGTGATATCATCCAAGCTAGCGATCTCGACTACGCCATGGAGGGCGTAAGTACAAGCACAGTCGAAATGAGAGATACATCTGCTAACAGTTACCAGGACCTTATTCACGTTTCAGAGGCAAAGGTTGGCAGGAGGCTTGTCGACTGGTACCTCCGCAACTTGGCCAGGACGTACTAGGCTATCACGAGTGTTTTCTGAGAGCGACTATTCACATTCGGGGCTTAGCCACAATAGAGCATTGCGCTTGGAGTTGGAGGAATATACGGCGTGCATCCAAAAGCGTGTTTGCGACATCTGAAGATGGGCTTAGGCAAAGGCAAGGCGATTATAGGGGCCCAGGTCTGGGTTATTCATGGCTGGGGGAGCCTGTCCGCCGTGAGCGAGGAGCGGGCCGAAGGAAGGACAGGATGAGCGAGCGAACAATGGGCTTGCACAATACCAAATAAACTTTTCCGACTTTCAAACACACGTCTTGGAGGCGATTTCAAATGTGGATGCGTGAATCCTTGCAACTCCATCGTGTTCATTGTCAACCACCGTGTTGGTGACTATATGCTCGACTCAGACGACGAAGAAGACTGCAAGATGAATGTCGGCGGTTGGGTACCACCAGGCATGGTTCGCAATCGGGAGCAAGGGTCTCAAGGGCTTTGCAACAGAGTGGTACATGCTAGCGCAGTGGGTTGGACGGGACGGCACCTGAGCAAGCTTCGCTTCTACTCGACCAACACCATCCAAACACAGTCGGCAAGCAGATTCCGGTTAAAGAGCAAACACGCGTTCGGGGCAAGCACGTCCGACAAGATCATGGCAACCAAGTGAATGTTGTTGCCCCTCTCGGTCGCTCGTGCGCTCCGCTGATGCACTTTCCATCCATGTCCTTGGACAACACCCACCACGCCCAACAAGTCCCTTCACCGACTACCACCAGACGTCTTTTACCCAGACCACTGCAATGGCTCCCGATCTGAATACCGTGCCTGTATCGCCCCATCCGGGTCCTGCTAACACAAGCAACCCATCGACCTCACAGCCGGCGTCGGGCTCGTTGTCACGTCGAACATCCGCAACAGTCTCCAGGCGGGCGTCACAGATGGCTATGAGCCCCCCACCGCTGCCTCTTGCATCGCCTGGAGGTACCCTGCCACCGCCCGCACATTCAGCATCACAACATGGACACAGCTTCCCGCCCCTCAGCCCCAGCGCGAGTGGCTATGTCCAGGCGAGCGTCGACTCGGCAGGCGTTCCCATGAGACACCCACGCCCCATGACGCCAGCAGAGATGCATCTCGAGCTCGAAAAGGAACAAGAGGCAGTGGTCAACCGTCTGACGCGTGAGCTCTCGGCTCTACGCGCACATTCTGCTTCTGTAGCCTCCAACACCTCCATGTCAAGCACCGCAGACTCATCCGTCGCCCATGCCGAAGCCTCGACCGGTCCGATGCATCCCACGTCCTCCCGCCGCCACCGCAGTTCCTCGAGCGTCTCCCGTAGCGGTCTGCCACCGGGCTACATCCCACATCGCTACTCCATCTCCTCGCAACCCGCGACCGGCGATCCTAATCAGCGAGATCACCGTAGCTCGAGCGTCGTTAGCACCCCACGCTATGAGGAAGTTGCACAACACAAGGCCGAGTTGGAAGAAGTCAAAAAGGAAAATGAAGCCCTGAAGCAGCGCATTCGTCATCTTGAGCGTCAGATCAGGGGCAACAATGATGCTGATGGACAGAGGGGTAGAAGGGGTGCACCACAATCTCAGAGCAGCGGGGTTGGCAATACTTCTGATAATACCCAAGTTTCTGCTAATGCAACAGCAGTCCCCGAAGAAACCAGTCGATAGATTGAGAGTTCCGTAGGTACTGCGAGGCGTATTAATAGCACACGCTATGCTCATGATGCATTTGAGATGAGATGGAAGAACCATCGAGTATCAGTTACACAAGCTATTGTCGTCATTCATTCCGAGCAATTGAGTAGGTATGCACAACATACACCTCACTCCAACTCTACTATCAGTCAGTCCAACAAGCAGATGAGACAGATGTTACATGGATAATGGAGATAGCCATCAAGTCCTTATTCATAATCCTCAAATCTGCTGCATTCCTCCTTATCCTATCTGAACACCCTTATCAGATGCTTGCTTCTTCTGCACAAGGCGGATGCTGCAGATCCAGAGCTAACGCCGCTGATCCTCACATATGCGCCTAACGGACCATATCCCAGTGTCGATCCGTTTTCCACGGCAGATCACTTTTGCGGGATTTGAATGACATGTATGTACGACACATCGTGGCGTACTTGACAGGCATGCGTTTAGTGCCTCGTGCTGAGATGCCTGAGAGGACGGGATGGGATGGGGTGACATTGTGTGTAAGCAATGTAAACCCCGCGTACGTCATCAGGACGAGGCACGGGTCGAAGGGTGCTACAGATAGCTTGCATTCAACGGGATAAAGGTAGGTATACGTAAGATTGGATAGCTGAGTTGGTTCCAAATATCTCTTGTTTGTGATTCTTCTTGTGAGAGACAAAGTGTTGCTATTCATCCTCACTGGCACACATCTTGTTACTATATATTCGATATCGCATACCTTGAATCTCAAATATCATCCAAGTTCTTTCTGAAGCAAAATGACATGGCTCGCCAATCTCCGGGACAAAATGAGTAGCAGCACAGAGAAACGAAGGAATAGCAGACAATTTGACGATACTCCTAGTACGTACACCTGCGCATTCTCTCCATACCCTCACTCTTATGCCCTCTTGTTAACATCGTAACAAGCTCTCGCAACGAGTCCGACTACGTCAGCAACTACATCCGATAAGCCAGCACCACTGCCAATCAGCCCCTTGCCCTTGACCTCCACTCCCGCATCTTCAAATCTCACGTCTGCTTCTCCGCTGTCAGAAGTTCAAAAACCTGGCTTGTACCACACACCCACCGACATCATCACCGCGACAGAAAAAGGTATGATAAGTGGTTCCCTCTGCGCCACGATGCCGAGCTCCTCATCTACGGCTTCAAGTCAGAAACATGATTCTGAAGCGAGGGATGTGGCGGCGGATGCAGAGGAAGAAACGGCTCCAGTATTAACGAGGGCTGAAGAGGCGTGTGTTGGAGAGGGGAGGAAGGGTAGTTTGGCGGGCGGAGAGAGGGAAGGGGGCAGGTGTGTCATGTTTAAAGGAGTTGATGTGTAAGTATCGAGACCGGATAGGACGATGCAAGAGGGTACACAGAGACTGGAATGCTCAGAAGTAATGTACGATAGAATTGAGAGACTTTGGACAGTCTTGAAGTATGCGAGAGACAGGCTGTCAAGGGAAGACGTGGGCCCATAGTAATCAAAGAGTGCGCAAGGCAATACGAATACCATGATCACTCTTGTCGCGTGCATCAAACTCTCCTGCTACCCGTCATCTTCCTGTTCTCACTATGACGCTTAGCCTTCAAAGCGTCTCGTCTCCTCTTCTTCCACGCCCTGTTCAAATCTCCCCGGTTCTCCCAGAACCATCTTTTGAACTCGCTTTCAGGCTCTTGCTCGTTTGCGCCGGTAACCGCATCGTCCTCGTCTTCTTCTGCAACGCCGGCTAGCTTGCTGGCATTCGCTCGCGTGTTGTGAGACAGTCTTTGTTCAGCAAGTGAATCTACGTCGTCCATGTCCTCGTCCTCGTCGGCTTCTTGGCTGTTCTTGCGCCAGTCGAAGGAGAAGCGGCGGCCAATGGCAGCAGTGTCTGGGGTGGGTGCTGCGCTTCGGAGACCTCTCCACTCGATGTCTCTTTGCGTAAAGGGCGTGGTAGGAGCTCCCTCAGTGGGCTCGCCGTCGGCTTCCATGATGTCCTCGTTGTTGTCGAAGAAGCTGAAGGATGTGTCAATCGGAGTAAGCTTCTTGGTGGGGGTTGACGTCGCGCCATCAGCGGGCTTTGCACGCTTGAACAGTGCTTCAAGCGGGTGGACTTCTTTCTCTGATGTCGTGGTAGGCTGAGCCTCTTCGGGGGTTTTCTTGCTCTTAGCGACTGGGGCTGGAGAAGATGCAGATGATTCGGGCTCTGATTCCTCCTCCTCCTCCTCCTCCTCCTCTTCCTCTTCCTCTTCCTCTTCCTCTGAATCAGAGTCGGAAGAGTCCTCATCTTCCGAAGAAGACGAAACCACTGATGATTCATCGTCTTCAGATTCAGATGATGACGGGGGAGGAGTAGCTTTCTTCTTCTTCTGGTCCTTGGATGTAGACAAAGATTTTGCTGTACCATCAATCCAGGCTCTTTGAGCTTCTGAAGGCGCATCTACCAACTCCAGAGCCCTCCTAGCCTTGGCCTTCCCAGTCTCAGGCTCGACAACAACACCGTCCTCATCTACCCACCCCTGTCCATTGACATAGTCAACTGCAGGCTTCGTCGATAGCGCCACCTGTGGTTGTTTCAAGAAGCTGGGAGTCTTGATGTTCTTCTCAAACTCATGAATTACCACGTCTCGGTTGGACTTGTTCTTTTCCTTCTTCTCTTTCTTCCCTTTCTTCTCGTCCTTGTGCGCAACCTCTGTCGCGGCAACAGGCGTCAGCTTCGCCTTGAAGAGCACCTCGGGCTCTTTAGTGTACTTGGAATGCTTGCGCTCCTTCTTCGCTTCTTTTCTGGCCTCCTTGTCGCTTTTGTCCTTTTTATCCTTCCGGTCTTTCTTGTTCTTGGGCGCTGGTTCGGTCCATCCACGCCTGACCTTCCTGTCCTCTGGTAGCTCAACGCCATCCAGTACGCCCTGCTCCTTCCCCTTCTTCTTGTCCTTCTTTTCTTTTTTCTCCTTCTTCTCCTTCTTGTCCTTCTTGGCGCGTTTGGACGGTCGTTCGGCGTCCGAGACGTCTTGGACAGCGTCGCCCACCAAAGATTTGCGCTTCTCAGGTTTCGCCATTTCTATGCGCACTTTGGAGCCCCTCAAGGTTGTGCCGTTCAGCTTCTTCTTGATCTTTTGAGCTTCGGTCTCGGGTAGCTCTACGTAGCCGAAGCCTTTTTCGGGAAATGTCGCGACGGTATGGTATGAGATGTTTTGCGCAGAGGGAAGGACAGACGGCGCGATGTAGACCTTGAGCAGATCGGGGCGAAAAGGCGTAATGTGCAGGCGAACGATCTTGCTTTCGGGTTGCGCTTGGGGAGAATTAGCCGCTTGTGCTGCTGGCATTGGGTCGCAAGTTTTGCGCGCGTGCGACAGATGTAGATGACTGCGCGCAAAGGCTTCAGGGGACCTCGATCAAAGAAGATATGCCACAAGCTTGACCGGCGCTTGTAAGCGTCGTGTTGGAGTGTCGGGGCCGGAGGGGAAAGGAAAATGCTTAGCGCGAGCAAGGGACCCAGCTCTCTGGTGTTAGCGTGAATGCGGGCGGAGGTTTGGAGCTCCACTCGTCTATTGATCCATTGGATACTCATCGCGACTGCCCTGAGATAAACGTCTAGAAGCAGGACAAATAGACATCCCCTTCGACAATTTGATTGCTTCATCATCTACACAAACCCTCTACGTCTTCTGCCGTTGATCGCCATCGACCCACGATGCGGAGACCACCATACCTCCTCTTCCTTCTTCTAACATTCCTCTCGTCCCTCTCCTTATCCCTCGCAGCCAGTATGTCTCGCCTCTCCCATGCTCAGAAACTCGCTGATATGGTGTAGCACCCACATCGTTTTGCAAATGTACCTGCTTTGGCAACAGCACCATTGTAGCGCTCGATGCGCCGTCCACCACCAAGAAACCCGCCGCCCTTGAATTAAAACCCCGCGCCTCCAAGAAAACATGCAACGACTGCAACCGCCAGTTCTGCCTCGGCTACGGCTTCTGCGCTGGAGAGAAAGAGGAGAACGTGCTCACGACATGCTTCCAGCGGGATTCTGCGAAAGACCAGGCAGTCGTCTTTGTGTTTATCGGGGCGACAGTGGGGCTCTTGGGGTGGGCAGCTTTACGGCCTTGGGTTGAGGGATGGAGAGAGGTACGTGCATGTGAGCGAGACCGGGTAGATGGTAGACTGACCGAAGGCAGCGTGCACGGGAACGACGAAGCTATGTTCCAGTGCCTGGTCAAGGAAACCAGTGAGCGATGCGCTTGGGTTGTCAGGCTGAGAAGCATTCAACTTCGATATGGATTGAACGTGCAATGTAGACATGAAGCTGAGATGCCCAAGACAATCGTGGACTCCTTCATGACTCTGAAGAACTCCATCATGCAAACATCTAATGTGACAGCAATGTACAAGCTGAGGTCGTATATGGTACACCGAAGCGTCTGGCTTCGCGCTCCGCCGAATTCCTCCCCTAGTCTTTCTTACATCTACTCCTTCTTGGATTCGCCCTTGATCCATCCAAACCATCCCTTGCCGGTTTCCTCGACCTTGTGTACTGCCTTCTCTGCTGCGTTGTCCAGAGGGCCTCCGACTACTGGTGTTGATGACGTCGAGGCTGTGAATGTGGATGTGGTGTCGTGTGCCCTGGCCTCTTGCACTGCAGCAGCAATGCCCAGGTTTGTGTTTCCTTGCGCTTCCTGGCGCTTGATCTCCTCCACAGCAAGTCTCCTCTGCTCTGCGATTGCCTGCTCCTCCTTCCAGTCACCGTGCAGCCACCACAGCAGCTTTGAAGGGGCCTTTCGCTCCGCCTTCTTCCTCTCAAACGCTTCTTGCTCCTCGGCGATACCTGTGACGAGTGCGGATTGTGCGGGTGTGGCGGTCCCTGACGCGACCGCAGAACGAGCAAGTTCGAGAATCTTGGCCTGGGCTTGTTCTTCTTGGGCGAAATAGATTGCTCGTTTCCGTCGATTGTAGACGATCATGTCACCTATTGAGAATACTGCGAGGACACCAACGCAACCTGTGTAGACAATTAGCATATCTGCTGTTCTGTGACCAGTGTAGCCATTGGCCCGCCATATGCCCACATACCCGTTGCAAATATCAAGCCGTAGACGGTAAATCTATGCGCCGCATCCGCCGCCATTCTTCCGTACAGATACATGTAATCCCACCTCGTGACCTGTGCCATCTTCGCCCTGTTCGCAGCCTCTCTTAACCGCTTGACTTTCTGCTGTGGCGTTTCATTTTTCGGTGCGGGATCTGCGAATTGCAGCGTTGTTGCCCGCCCGCCAGGTCTTGTGTGCGCCCACACTCCGGTGGCTGTGAATCGCGTTGAATCCTTTGGTGACTTCGACATGATGCGTGGGAGGAGCACTCGAGAGTCAAGTGTTGTGGTTGTGAAGGGAGGATGTCGTGAAGATTGCGGAGCGGGATATCGAATGATTCGACGATTTCCAAAAGTTGAGATGGACTAGGGTTCGATGCGGAGATTTCCGCCCATCTACCCGCTAACGTCCATCGTCAGCCGTACCAAGCTAAAATGCTAATTGCATCTATCTCATGCATGCATCAGACGGTCGCTAATGCATTGATTCTCAGATTGCGGAAAGAGACAGCATGCGTAGCGCAGTCCGGCGATTGCTTCTTTCCTTACATTCTCATTGAAACAAGCGCAAACAGCACGCGCCATGTGCCGTCATTCACACGTCCAGCTAACATCAAACTACCACCACTCTGACATTTTTTAATTTCCCTGATACCATCAGCTTGAGGAGTCAGACTGCCATCACAATCATGGCGGATAATATCAGCCAGAACCTCGATCTCGAAAAGATCTTGGCTACACTCGCAAACCTTCCAAAACCAGAGGCTCAGCAATACCAGGATCAGCAACAGCCATACGAGCCCAACCAGAGTCACCAAGGATATCAAGACGCTCAGCAAATCTACTCCTCTGGACAAAGTAACACATATCAGCAACCTGCTGATCCACGACTGGCTGGTCGTTCGGCTCTACAACATCGACAGCCGCCCCCCAAGCCACAGGACAGAGTCTCCTCCCCATTCATTGATCCTTCAACAATCACGGAATGGAAGCAAGGCCTGCGTTGTGTGAGCAAGATAGCTTCTCAGAACCCCGACTTTGCTCCTGCCGTCCGTAAGGTAGGCTATACACCCTGTATAAATCAACATACCATGCTTACGTAGAAGTTAGCTGATGAAAGATCAAGAGTCAAACGTCAAGTCTTGGGAGTCCGGGCGCAAGAATCTCATTGATGAGCACAAGTTCAAGCGGGAGAATGAGCGAACTAATCGAGCTGCGTTGTAGGTAGTCTGACCTTGTTCTCGTGATGCTAGACTGACGTTCGTAGGTCTTTGCCAGGTCTTCTGGAAAACACACCTTTACTTCGCGTATTTCTCACTGTCTTCTTCCCCATGCAATGATGCTGACGACACGTAGACACCAGAACGCGAAAGAGAAGAACTTGATCAATACGACGCCAAAGTATACCGAGCGTGTAAAGCCATGGTAGACTCACAAACTTCGTCACTCAAGGTCTTGGGCGTTCCCTTTTTTGGTGTGAAGCCGTATTTGGTAGTTGGCTCCAGCTACGATCCGACTGAAGTCACGGATCCGCAGTCAGCTCCAGTTGATGGTAAAATCTCAAAAGAGCAGCTCCTAGAATTACAACGGAAAATGCTAAACCATTTGATGGAGCTATATGGAGACTGAATGGAAGCAGTCTTGACGATGTTGAAACATTGTTGGATGAAGACCAATGCTACTTTGTACGTATTGGCAGTAGGTCATCGGTTCTGGCCCGCTCAGGCGAGCATGGCGAACGTTTCCTACAAGATTATGCTGATACAGCATCAGTATTCGAGAGCATCTCTGCTGTTACTATCTTGGCCTCAGTGTCCGATCAGAATAGACTTTCGCTCCTTCATCACATTTGATGTTGAGATTGAGTTCTCATCCTCGTCTTTGGGTCGGGCAGTTTCTTTACATTGACCTTTCTTCGCTAGTCACCTTCAAGTACTATTTGGACATACTATCGGATTGCAGTAATGATGTCAGTTGCGCGTTGTCCTCTGTCCAGCATACAAGATTGGGGGGGTCACCACACTGAGCATTATTCACGTAAGTGCAAACGCACAGGAATCTCCCATTCACCTCCAGGTAATATCCTCGACGCCATTGGTCCCCACCGTGGGAAATGAAGCTAGTCACTGTTGACCGCGACCAGAGCACGTGCAGCTCAATCTGTTATCACAACATTCCCTTTCGTATTTTCTTCTAAAACTTTCTCACCTCATTACACTCATTGAAATCTCTCATCGTTCCCACACTCTTTTGCTGCTCACACTCGTCATCTCACTTCTACCCGCTACACCTTCAGTCGGTTCCTCGATCACAACCATATCTATTCAGCAAGATGCATAGTATGCGTGCACTCGCCCTTGTCGCAGTTGCTGGTAAGCATACTCCAGTCCACATACTCGAGCGATTTTGCGTCCCAGCTGACTGACACTCAGCAGGTGCTGCCGCCGAAGCAAGTCAACAGAGTCACATCATGGAGCACAGTCACGCTCCGGCTATGATTCCTCGCGACGACTGCGCGGATCTTCCGAAGCTCTGCACAGATCCGGTGCTGTTGCGCGGTCATGAGACCACTCTGACCTATCTTTGTCCCGAGACCGAGGGCCCATCCACTGTCATGGCCACCACAACGCGTACCATCACCGTGACAGTAGACCTGACCTCTAGCGTTCCTGTTGTGGCTACCTCAGACAGTCAGACGCCTGTGATAGAAGAGCCCACCACGACTGAGACGGTCAAGTCAACAACTCAGGTCACTGTCACCAAGTTTGTCACTAGAGTCACCGCTAGCACTACTTCGTCGTCTCTTTCCCCACCTACCATCACCTGGTCCTTCACGGCTATTCCTCCTGACGTTGACTCCACAGCGGTGTCTTCTGTCAAGGCTCGTACATCTGGCGCCAGCAGCTCTTTCGAATCGTCCCCTAGCCATGTAATTAACAGCTCGTCTTCGGTTGTCTCTACATTTTCGACACCTGCATCTAGCGCCAGTGGCTCTCTCGAGCATTTCCCTACTTATGCCATCGTCAACTCGTCTTCGATCGCTTCAACATCCTCGGTGGCTACTTTACCTTCCCTCGGTATCCATAGGCCCATCTACCGGAACCACACGATTGTTCACCACACTGGCGGTCATCACATTATCGATCACCCTACTCTGAATGTAGCAAGGGATGCCGAGGCCAAGTCCACCAAAACTCTCACTGCTACCTCTGCGACCGCAACTGAGAGTAAAAAGGGTCAGGCAGGAGATACCCAGGCATCATTCATTGCGCTGTTCTTCGGCGTGTTGGCTGCCACCCTACTCATCTGAGAAATCATGGACGGCTACTCCTGTTGGATACCTGTATGGTACTGTCATGAAAGGGAGATCTGGATAGCCTGTACGATGATGTTACGATGAGACATGTGGGATGTTTTCACGAGATTCACGAAATGTATATTAGCATGATGCCGAGATGGTCTTATGAGGCGGACAGAGATATCCCACCCAGCAAATACATAATCAGATGCGAATCGCTCGGGCTTTTGAATGACATGTGCTACAGGCCGGAGTACGTCCTCTGACTGATTGCAGCTGCCTGTTGATAGTAGAATCCAGAAGACGAAGTGCCTCGGATTCCAACTCTTTCAGCACTTCCAAGGTGTTAACAAAGTCTGATTTTTCCTACTCGAAGCTTGGAGATGAAACCTGCGCGCTTATAGCGCTGGATTTCATGGCCATAAGTGCTGTGGAATGACGGCGAGTTGGTAGACATGATGGTTCGAAGACGTGGGGGTCGTGCGCGTACCTAGGTAGCTTCGTGACCCAATGGCTGGCCAGACGCGCGACCGCGACGAACAGCCTCAGGCTAGCCTTCAAGACCACCTGCAGTCAGGCAAGCGGCATCTCCAACGACAGCTCTCAAGACCACCACAACCACGGTGGGCTTCCATTGTCGCACCTCCCTATCAACCACCAACGCGCGCAACAAAGCCATCCCACCGACACGACGAGATCGACCGCCTCTGGAAATAACAGACCGCCTTTCCTGATAACGACAACAGTCTGGAATAAGAAAGTCTCCAACACTCACCCGCCGCGCGCATTGCTGCAACACTGCGAAGAAGGCTACAACTCGACGCTTCTCTCACTAGGCAAACGTCAAGTCATTGACTCGCTTCTTGGATCGTGGTTGTCGCAAACTTGCATTGGAAGGCACGACTGGCCGTTGGCAGATAAGTCGGCAACATGGTTGGAAAAAAGTCGGGCAGAGCCCAGTTGAGAGAGGAGGGTAGGGCATCTGCACGCCACAACACCGTATGGCAACTAACAAGCTTGCAGGTCTGGAGCGGACAGACAATAATATGGACCTCACAACGTGGCCCCAGGTCGGCATGATCAACCAGAAGAACTACTACACCGAGTTCCTGAAGCGCGACGAACAATTCCTCGCCGTACGATACCCAAAGGATGAGGAAAGGGCGCGCATAGTACAGGAAGCCAGGGACAAGGATCGCGCACGAGCATTGGGGGTGCCGGCAACAGAAGGAGCCACGCCACAGGTTGCAGATGAGACCATGGAAGACGCTGAGGTCTCATTCGCCTCTAGAACAGATATCTCCAAGCTCATCGTCATACACCCTGGCAGCCAGAACTTGAGGATAGGTCTTGGATCTGATGCGCTGCCCAAGACCGTGCCTATGGTCATCGCACGAAAATGGAAAGAGAGTGAAGACGAAGAAGATGAGGGGGAGCCTAGTCCCAAGCGAATGAAGGTCGAAGGCGAATTGCCCGCCGACGCCCTTCCCGAGAAGTGGTTTGGAGAAGATGTGCGTACTCCAACACAGCATTCCCAGTCGATGCTAACTTGCGACCAGTTTGCCGACCAGTACATGGCCATGTCATCCGAACTAAGAACGCGAATGCGATCGAACAAGCGACGAGTGCTACCCAACTCGAAAGATCTTGTAACAAACTTCAACCGAAAATCCCCTCCCGACATCATCTCAGAACACAACGACATCAATCGCATCGAGTGGACAGAACTACCGGCAGACCCAAGAAAGGCCCCCGACTTCTTCACCGGGCATGACGCCCTGCGGATACCGGAAAGATCCAACCCACGATACAAGCTGTTCTGGCCGATCCGGAATGGCACGTTCAACGAGAAAGATTATCGAGATCGCAACCAGATCTACCACGACATCTCAAAGATATTAGAAGAGGCGTTCCGGAATCAACTTGGCATCACCAGGTTAAAAGATCTTGTTAACTACAAGTGCGTCTTCATCATACCCGATCTCTACGAGCGACAGTACGTTACTATGATACTCGACATTCTCATGCGGGATCTTGGCCTTGGAAAGGTTTGCCTGCAGCAGGAGTCGCTTTCGGCTACCTTTGGTGCTGGCTACGGTGTTGCCTGTGTTGTTGATATTGGTGCTCAGAAGACGTCTATTTGCTGCGTCGACGAAGGGCTGTGTGCCGAAGAGTCACGCGTTAACTTGAAGATGGGTGGAGCTGACGTGACGGAGACTTTCATCAAGATGATGCTGTATGGTCATTTCCCATATTCGGACATGAACCTGAAGCGTAGGTACGACTTCCTCCTTGCGGAAGAGCTGAAACAGAAGTTCTGCTCCATGGATGAAGGCTCAGTCACGGTACAAACGTGGGACTTCCATCTTCGAGCTTCGGGTCAGGATACTCGGAAGTACACGTTCAAGACATATGATGAGACTATGCTATCTGTCATGGTAAGTCACACATGTTCCTAGACTACAAGCTTTGCTGACAGACACAGGGTTTCTTCAAGCCTTCGATCTTCGAGAATGCGCAAAAACTCGAGAACAGAAGGAAGGTTGTGCCGCGCTCGGTCGACCTGTATGACGGCTCACCAAACGATCCCATCTCACAAGCACAGATCGCCATTATCGAAGCCGCGGCGGGTAAACCTGTCGTAGCCACCATAAATGGCGCACAAGATCCTGTCAACAGCACTGCACCGGTCTCTACGCCCCAACGCCCGCAACCAAACCCTTTCAACCTCCTCGGTCGCCTCAACGACAACGAGGGTACACCTCGATCATCTGTAGCGGGCTCACCCGGCCCGGAAGGAAGTAACACCCCAAACCCGGATCGCGACACTCCGATGGGCGACACTGACGGCGCACCCCTCCTCTTCCGCGATCCGATCCACGAGAAAACCAAACTAGCCGAGGCCCGGGATGCCATCCTCCCCATTCATTCTCTCGACCAAGCCATCCTCGAGTCTCTTGCACAAGGTGCCCGTGGCGACGACCGTAAGCTCCGCGACTTCTTCGGTGGTATTATGCTCGTAGGTGGCGCGTCCAAGACACCCGGCCTAAGGGAGTTCCTGGAGATGCGACTCAGAGAACTTCGACCAGGATATGGAAAAGAGATTCTCGTTGGACCGCCACCTAGAGACTTTGATCCACAGGTTGTGGCTTGGAAGGGCGGTAGTGTGTTTGGAAGATTGAGCGGACATGGTAACGACGGATGGATTAGCCGCTATGAGTATGACATGTTGGGTGCGAGGTTGTTGAACAACAAGTGCATGTTTGCTTGGTAGGATGGAACAAGCAAATCATGAGACCTTGGATTGGGGAAGCAGGGATTGACTGTTTGATATTCAGAAAAGATGTTGTACTGGTTAGTATCGCGACAGTGCGATGTTGTGAGATATTCAGAACAGCCATCCGGTTAGAGATCGAATTTCACGGTAATGGAAGAGAATCTGATAACGCCATTCAAATATCAGCCTTGTCCAAAACCGCCTGTGGTTCCGTTACCCATCTCTGTGGACCTTAGTTATTGTAGTGGTAAGTCTGTAGATATGGGCACAGCGGGTAAGTCAAGAACTCTTACGTGCGGATTGTATTGTACTACGTACACTAATGACATAATAGGCTGGGTCCCCCATAACTCACGTTCAGATCCCTATTTTTTACTCCATCCATCTTCACAGTGTAATATCACTGGTGGAGCTCTGACCTGCTTCCATCACTCACACATCGTCGGGCTTCACGTACATACGCAAACCACTGGCTTACAGAGAAACCTTGGCAGACTCACAGACCTTCTTGTGGATCTTCCAGTGCTTCTTCTGGCACGAAGTCGAGCAGTACTTGCGGTTCTTGCACTTGCCACATGCGAGTAAAGCCTCGCCTTTCGGTCTAGATGCCACACCACAGCCGCCGCACTCATCAGGCTTGTTGTATTGGTCACGGAGCTCCTTCACGATTACCGAAGTGCGCGAGTTGGTCCTGCCTAAATGTTAGGGCACAAAGTTAGTATATGTATCACAAGCAGCTTGCGCAGGCACGTCACGTACCGGTGTTGAAGAGAAGGGGGTTAGGAACGTTCATGAGCCTGAAACCACCGTCGTCGTGCTTGTCGGGTTTGGAGTTGACTTCCTCTAGGAGGGACTTAGACTCGAAGTCATAGGGTTCTCCATTCTTATAACCATTCGGACCGAAGAGAGCCTTGTGCATCTGGCGCTGGGCGTCCGGCATGAGACCACCTTCGGTGTAGACCTTCTTGAGCATGGCAAGACAAGAAGCTGGGAGTTGACATCCGTGAGTCATGGCGCAAGCACCAAGCAAGACGTACATGTAGCAGGGATCTGAGAACCAGTGTTCCATCGCCTCCTCTGTTGATCCATTGACAGGGGCTAAGATCTTTGCTTCCCTCTTCGCGATCATGTCAACAAGGGCGCCGGAGTCAAGATGCTTGCGGACCACTTCGGGGTCAGAGCAGCAGGGAGCGTAGAGGTCGTAGTGGATGCTGCCTTCTATATCTTCCTCACTCTTGCCTTGGGACTTGGCTACAGCTTTGGCGGCTTCTTCGAGTTCGGTCAGCCCAGCTTCGTGGCCCATATCGCCGACGTTGTCCAAGTCCTGGTCCGATTGGAACAGACCTGGAGTCACGTTAGCGGATGGAGTTTCTCTACTATGACAAGTTTATCACTCACAGTATCCCCAAGCACCCATCTTGGAATCTTGGTATGTATGGACTCTTGTACAGCGGGTTGGGAGTAATGGTTGACGAAAGCAGTGACGACACACTACCGTGGATAGCTGTTTTCTGATGTAATCTTTCGCTCAGGTGGTGAGCGTTCAAAGTAGAGGTGAGTGAAAAGGGTGAATGAGTTGAAGAGGAAACACGCTTCGCGGGGATCTAGGCTGCATTCGCTGTCAGGGAAAGAGCAGTGACGCGTGGTCCCGTGATCTGGACACCTGCGCTTTCCTTGCTCACACACGCCACATCTCCGTCTATTCACTGAGCGGTCGTAATTCGTCGACAGCGGCGTTGTTTGCCGTCCCGCGTGCTGTGAGGCTTGGTCTTGATGGACTCCATCGATGGAGTGGAGTGGCCTTTGCCTGCAACGCTCTTTAGTCTGGAGACGGACTGCGGGAAGGAAGTACCAAGAGGCAAGCTGTTTGTGTCCTTTGCAAGATCCTCCTTTTCATCAGCGCTGTTATCAAATGCGATACACACTTTTTGTCCTTGGCCGTACGTTATGATACGTAAACCTTCAAGTTTTCTTCGAAGAGATTTAAGTGGTCTTATGGGTATGGCATGTAGTATGCACCGCTTTCTATTCCGACTTAGTTAGCCTCTATTATTGAGAGTTTACTACCATTCGGGCATATTATGGGTATATCCTTTACCCCGCACGCCCCACAAGAAGCGGTGTAACACGATAGCATATAAGTAGAGGTAAGCATCGAGCGAGTTGACCAAGGAAAAGTTGCTGTGGTCTTGCAAAAGTACGTTCATCACAAGACAGTCATGGCGTCTTCCAACGAGAATTATCCACCAGGGCCATACGAGGCGGACAAACACATAACACCTCCACCTAGGCCAATTTCCCCGTCGACTGCAGAATACCAACTCAACCATATGATGATACGTATCAAGGATCCAGAGAAGAGCATGAAGTTCTACTGTGACTGTTTGGGCATGCATGTCATCTTCATCTTCAACGCCGGGCCGTTCACGATCTACTATCTCGGACCACGAGACGTTGGTACGTACATCCATAATCTATTTACCTATAACAAAACACTAAAACACCTATAGGTATGGCTAATCTTCGAACGTCAAAGGGCTTACTGGAATTATATCATATTCCCGCAGACTCGTCTACGCCTTATGCTTCTGGCAATGACTACCCTGGTCCTGGAATTGGGCTTGGTCACCTTGGGTTTACAGTTCCTGATGTCGCTGAAGCAGTGGAAAGGGTTAAGAGCCATGGGTTCGAGGTCATCAAACCGTTGGATGAGGCGAAGGAAGAACAGATGGGTATACCGGCAGATACTGCTGCCGGAAAGCATGGAAAAGTGCCAGATGGGTACAAGCATCTCTTTAAACAATTGGCTTTTGTGAAGGATCCTGATGTAAGTGACAGTTTATTGGCAAGAGTAAGTGGAAGAAGCAATATGCTAATAACCAGTGTTTAGGGCTACTGGGTTGAATTCATACCACCAGCTTTCAGAGCCGAGTAGGTAATGAAAGCAGTTCAAGGTTGCGTGACACTTCAATTGTAGAACGGCTGGAATATCTGTTGCACCTAGCTTCTATATGACTGATCTCTCTTCCCTATTTTCCTTACTGGCGAGCTCTCAACCCAGCTCAACGACTTTATCATCTTTCCACTGACATTATGGCACCTCAACCTCAGCCGAACACAGAAACTTCTGTCCGAGCCCCAAAGCGAGACATCGACGGGTAAATTGCCTCTGATATCCTTTCTGTCTGCATCACTGTTGACAAAAACTTAGTTTCATCAAGTCTCCTCTGGTCAAAGTGTTGATCGGACCAGATACCGATCGCTCAGAACTGCATATTCACCATTCGATCATAGCAGCACGATCCGAGTTCTTCGCAAGCGCTCTAAATGGCCGATGGGATAACTTTGATACCAAAATTGTTGACCTACACAAGGCTGCTCCAGATCTTGTCCTGGAGGACGTCGCACACTATTTGGAAGCTGTTTACACGAATCAGATCCACGACGAGAGCCATTCGAAGGGTTTCTATGATATTTGTAAGGTGTACGTAGTAGCTGAGCGGTTACATGATGTACAGACACGTAACCTAGCTGTTGAAGCACTGTATAACCGGATGCAAGAGTCTGATCCTACTACCACGGTCCCCGGTCCAAAATGTGTTGACATTATTTATGAAGGCACAGCTTCACCTAAGAATCTGATGCGAAAGCTGATAGTCGACACATGGTGTACTTGGGGTGTTGCTCGACTTGAGGATCATTTGAATACTGCTCCTCGGCAATTTTTGGTTGAGCTTGCGGCGGCTGCGGTTAAGAAGCTGGTTGAGAACAGCGAGGACCAAGAGTTGATTCTTGATGTGAAGGCTTATCTTGAGGACTAAGCTCCCAGAGTGGTAGACCAGCTTCTCTAGGGTTTGAGAAGAATGCATGTCGTCATAGATGAATGATACATCAAAAAGCAAAGTCTGAGCCATTATTCTTAACACCTCCATGACAGACAAAGAAAAAATCACCAGCACTTTGCTACAAGCGTTTCCAAGGCTCCTAGCAGAGGACAGTATAACCACCATCATAACGGTTTAGGATGAGGCTACAACCTCGAAAGCGTTAAACCAGCGGCGCCGGACGGAGCGTTGGACGATGCGCTAGGACAGGTACCCGTTCGCTAGCTCGAATAAGACCCTGCATTCCGCCTCCCGCAACGTCTCAGATGGTGCAACTAGATGTAGGTATGGAAATGGACTTTGAGCATTTAGACTTTTTATTGATGTACGCAGCCAGTACAGGGCGCGACTCACGAGACATAGCGTCAATGTGCAGCTGACATCTAGGATCCGGTTTTCCGTTAGCGAGACGATCGTTGCAAGGATGCCATCCAGAGTTTCAGATCCGGGGTCAGTGGAGGTCACTCCCTGGAGCCTGACTCCCTGAGGATATCGCCCAAGATGCTGTACGTTTCATCAAATCCTTACAGTCGCTCTTTAACATCTGTAGCCCAAACACTGACTTGAAAGAGCAATGGGCTATCCCCGCGAACGTTATCGCGTGTGCGATGCGAGTCGACGGCAAAGAAAGGGGTTGGTGGTGGCAGCGGCGCAAGATGACGTGCCCCAAGACAAAATTCCAGGCTTGTGAAGCCAATCTTTAGCCGCCAACCTGCATTCGGCCACGGTCGTTTCCAAGTCATAAAGCCATGTTTACCTGGAATTGCCCTGGGGGTTGCGTTTCCCATCTTCGATTTGGTGGTAGCTATGGATAAGCTGAAGTCCAAGACGCGTTCGGCGCGCAACAGACTCGCCAAAGCGACATCGTCGGGCTCAGGTACGGGCGAGCTGCATGTTCCACACCAATCTCTGCCACCCCACGAGAACTCCAGTACCCATGCTGTAAACGAAGGCTTCCAGAGCGCCGAGCCTGGGACCAATGCGCACGACTTCGGAACACCAGCAGGCCAGCCAACACGACAACCTGTCATCGAACCGCCTACCTCGCTAGAGTCATCCATTGACGCTGGCCAACATGTTCCCAAGCCTACGAGGGCGAGCGATCCCTCTTCCCATGTTACGTACAGGTAGGCTCTGCTCACAAGAACGGGGGGGGAAGGAGCGATGCTGACCCGTATCCAGTACTCTTGCTGCACAACGAGCAAGAAGCAGCTCTGCGCCAACTAGACCCCAGCAGTACCCACGACGACCCCAAGCCTATCGTCAAGCCAGTATTGGTATTCGGCGTATACCTTCCTCCAACGCCCTGAGACAAGCAGCACAGAACCCCAATGCCGCCTCAACAATAAGATCAAGTACGCCTCTGCCTGCACTGGACGAAGAACAAGAGCTAGGACAGTTCTCCTCTTCCAACGGGAGTCAGTCGACCCTCACGAACCCTGAGCCAGATCGAAGTCGACTGCGGAAGGTCAAGAGCGCAATACAGACCAGGATACCCTTTTGGGGCAACAAGGAGGAGGAGGAGAAGTCACCGACAACTAGTGCCCATGCTGCTGCACCGGAAGACGATATGTCGTCCAACTACACCTCGGGCATGGTCGACGTCCTCGATACCATCGATCCCGAGGTTGCGACGCTTACTTCTTTGACAAACATGCAGAATTCGCTTTTCATTCCCAATCTACCCTGGCTCAACCGTCGGCCGACATACAACCTACGTCGACGGAAGAGCGAGACTGAGAGTCTAGAAGAGATCAACCGCATCCTAGAGCCCGCCCGTGCTGCTCAGGCACAGGAGCAAGCGGCTCCAAGACTTCAGCGCTCGCCAACTGAAGCTACTACGACGACTATGATGACGATAGATTCGCAACTCACTGAGTCTCGCTTCGCTGTGCTTCCCGAAGAGGCTGACCTATCTGGCTGGAGTGTCGAGGACAAGAAGGAGGTCAACGACCATGTCCGACATATGCTTCACTCACGACGATCCAAGATGAAGCGCTCGCTGAAAGGGTTCGGACAGTATGTCAGGAGACGTATGTATTCCCGTCATCCTTGTCACAGACTATTACTGATAGATCACAGCTCTTGGTTTCCTTGTCACTCTCTACGCGACCCTCATCACCCTGTTCGGTCTGGCCTGGGTACTTTTCCTCATCGGCTGGGTCAATGTCGGTGGCCAACAAATCTACGTTGTGCACGTCATTGACAGTGTCCTTGTTGCCCTCTTCGCTGTTGTGGGAGATGGTCTCGCACCTTTCCGTGCCGTAGACACCTACCACATGATTTACATCGCTCACTACCACCACTTCACCTGGTCGCGCCGTAAGAAGGAGATGCTTCCCGAACTTGCCGATCATAACGACCTTCCTGCCGAACACGCTCCTGTGTCCGGACCCCGTGTGGTAGACCCAGCAGATCCTGAGAAGCAGTGGGAATTCACCGTTTTGACGCCCAAGCAACAGGAGAAGCTGGAACACCACCAGGAGAAGTTCTGCAAATCTCACTCTTTCTACAAACCCCACGAGACAGAGACCCATTACGCCTTCCCTCTTCGTCTCCTCGTTGCTATCGTCGTCCTTCTGGACTGCCACTCTTTACTCCAGATCTCTCTCGGCGCGTGCACATGGGGTATCTACTATAAACACCGTCCTTTCGCCATCACCACCGTCATTCTCTGCTGCTCCATCACCTGCAATGCCACAGCCGGTCTGCTAATTTGGTTGGGTGACAAGAAAACCCGCAAGAAGGACGTGCTAGAGCGCATGAACAGACAGGAGCTGACCGAGGAGGCCATCAAAGAAGTAGAAAAGAAGAAACAGAAGGAGAAAGAAAGAGAAAGCGAGGGCGAGTCTAGCGGTGCGGACGAAGGCAGGGACAGGGAGGCAAGGAGAATTAGTCTCGATGCTTTCAGGCCAGGGAGGAAGAGTATGGATAGGAACAGAGAGAAGAAGCAGAGTCTCGGTGCGTATCCGTGATCAGAGAATGCAACGACGTTGCATAATACACGACTGTTATGTCGGTGGCATTTTTTCTTGGAAGCGTTCAAGCGTATATACCTATTCAGCGACGTCGCCATGTCGACCTACTTAATTCTGCATTTTTTGTTCTTCTTATAGCTCTGTGCCTTGCAGTAAACAACATGTGTTGAATGCTTTGTTGGGGGGATGTAGTGACACTTGTGCTGCTCAGGCAGAAACATACTCGCCATCTGCCATTGCAGCTGCGCTTGAAGATCCCATGCATAAGGGGACGGTGCTAAGACAACATTTACACACTCTTGCTAACATGCTTGTGATAACGGGTCTCCGCTGTATTATGATAGGTCCTCGGCCTCAAAAGAGGTCACGAGAGTAAGAAGGATTGAAAGGTATGGTTGAAGCTCATCACACGGTGATGCTTTGTCAATTGTCTTGTATTACTCCAAATCGGCTCCAGCTAACACTGTTGATATGCCATCTGAATGGATCGTTCTCTCGTTGTGCAATCTTTTCCCACTCAATCCTCGTCCTTCACTTCGATCCAGAGCAATTTCTATCCTCTATATTGTATCGTACCCATGGGTATAAGTTTCTAGCAGCCCTCAATCTGCTCGACACCGGCGGTAGTGCCCTTGACGCACATGCCGTGGTTCTGACGAACGGCGACAGCTGTTTTCGTGTTAACCATAAATGCCGATAGTGGAGCTTGGGTGGAAAGAGAGCATACCCTCGTTTGCGACAGGCGCGGCGATGGCAAAAGCAGCCATGGAGACGATGGTGGCGATGATGGTGGTGAACTTCATTTTGAAATAGTGTTTAGATTATCGGAATCGTTGATCAGGTAGTAGTGAAGAAGCCTGGAATGTAGTTGGAAATTGAAAAGTCGCCCGGCGACAAAGAGTGAATGAATAGAAATGTTGATAAACAAGAAAATTGACTTGAAGAAGTTGACTTGATGGTGAGCTTGAAGTGAGAAAACACCTTCTAGCCTGAGGGGGCGATCAACTTATACCAAGCACCAGCAACAGCTCGCCCATACAGGTACACCGTCGTCGTCGTCGTCGTCGTCATCAGGCGCCGTTGTCATCACAAAGTTATCCCAGTACCTTACTCGCTGCCTCGTACTGACAAGGCTGAAACCGGAGTCTAGACTTTCCTGCTTGTGTCTTGGTACTGTATTAGCGAAAGGAGTACGATCTGCTGCCTAACGACGGCGGGTAGTGGAGCATTGTCGTTCTACGGGAAGAGCACGGCCGGGGAGGCGCTGCGTTGAGTTGTGTCAAAGTTGTTGGAGATATGTCGATGATTTCCCGAAAAACGGGAGACGCGCGGCTTTTGCATGTGGAGTTTTATGGGTACCGTGGGGAAGACGTAGAGCTGTGGGTATACTACCACTTCGTTGAGTTGGGCCCATCATGATGATGCTGCCAAATTTTGTATCCTTCAGATAAACACCCTGCCTACTTTCCCATTAGTTCATCCTCATCTGTCGAGTACAGCCATTGAGCCTATGTAGTCCCGTATAAGCACCGTGATACAGCGCGGTTAGAGTGTGATGAAACGCTACTCAAACCCAGCCGAAACTCGGAAGAGCACCTCCCTTGGCAACGATCTCGGAGAACACAATGCGATGCTAGCAGTCATCGGGTACCATATTTCGACCGAAACGCTTCCAAAGGCCCCGACATACGTAAATCCAGGGGCAGAAGCTGAGGATGTCTGTGTATTAGGATGCCCGTTGATCGTTCACCACACGTGCAACCAGATGGCGCTAACCATTTGAGGACAAATCGTATCAAAGGCGATATTCAAACGCCTTTGAGGAATTGACCGCTCTCAACCAACAACAGGTAACATGATGCCGCCGCCCATTGTAACAGCAAACTTCGAACAGCAAAATTTCCGTCTAACTTATTAACCAAATTTCAGTCGCTGATGTGCTTGATCAGTCGTTCAGCTCGTGGTGGACATCATCGCCAGTTGTTCCATTATCTTTAGTCCTTTCAATTATCTCGTCTCTACTGTTTCTGAAGCTCGCTCTTATGGTTTTTTATCCTGCTTAGTAGAGGTGAGTTGGTCTTGCCTGTTTCCTAGCAATCTTGGAAAGCGGAACACAGTCACCGTCACGTGGTATCTCTTGTGAACTTTAGATCACACGAGTTCTTAGACTGTTAGTATTTATACAGGTATGACTGAGCTTTAGTAAGTTTGAATTCGATACAGTCGATGTCAATGTAGGTTTCTAGCGATGCTAAGGATGTCCATACAAGATAGAGCTGTCACTGGAAAGAGCGAGAGTTTACATACATCGAAACAGAAAGCAGACACGCCCGCCATTTCATAAGATGACGTTCGGATATGAGCCACGTGTAGCCGTGGTTAGAGGTGACTGCGCGTTGCTGAGTACCGATAACGGAAGTGAAGGTGAGAGCTGGTCATGAGGATAGCGGCTTCCCGACTTTCCACTTCCACCTTTGTATCCGACAGTTGCTCCCCACAACCTCACGGGGTTGGCAACTGCGGCCCACAGAAACCATGGATCTATACGTGGCTCAGCTTCCAGGGCTCTCTGTAGCTACTCATCTGGCGAGGGAGCGTGCGAAAGCCGACGAGGACATGCCCGACAACAAGAGCTGGCGATTAGGCCACAGCAAGCAACCGAAGAAGCCACCAAAAGCGCTCACTCCTCTGAAGATCGATACCGAGTACTCAAGATCTTTCGACGATTTGAACGATCACCACCTTCCGCTCAGCTGGCGACAACAACGTCAAGGCAGCAGACCGCAGACACCTGTGGGCGCTGTATCAGCCACGCCTCTCGTTGATGATGCATATGATACCCGAAGTGATCGTTCAGATACTCCAGCGCCACGTCGAGACTCCAAGCCAAGACTCGCACGATACACTTCGCTTTTTGCCAACTTCAAAGATACAACCAAGGAGCCGGAGTTTGCCTTCTCTGCACCTTGGGGTGAAGATGCACCGCAGTCCCTACAGCCTTACATAGATCCGCTTGACGTGGTTCAGTCTGTACGATCGCACATGGCGACTACACATCGGCCAATACCAATGGAGCACAATAGTGGCTTGTTTCGGGTGTTTGAGGACTACCGCAAGGTCCGAGAGCAGAAAGAGAGTCTCAGTATAATGATGGAGGAGACACTCAGTGACTGGAAAAAGGCCGAAGAACATTGGAATCGCTCAAAAGATCGCTATGGCGCGGAGATACGGCGACTCGAGCTGCTCATAGCTCGCGGAACGAGCGGTATGGCAGGGTCAGTAGCCTCCAACTCCATGCCCTTCCTTTGCTAACACAGAAGAGACTTATGCAAGCTCGTCAAGACAGCGTATTGCGACGCCATAGGAAGACCGTCTCGCACGACAGTATCCCTCCAGCTAACAACTCCCTTTCGCATGCCCAACTCGACCAAGAGATCAAAGTTAGGAGTCAGAGAGGTTAGTACTTGGTAATATAGTGTTATGCATGTCGTTACTAATCTAATTCAGCGCTCCTGAGTCGACCGTTATCTCCCTCTGAAAAGATGATCGTCCTCTCAACACAGTTTACCAACGATGGGACGAAGCTGATAGTAGGAACTCCTCCTGAGGTCAACCATAATTTGACACTGTCGCGCAAAGTCCAAAGCGAGCTCAACCTTACCGCCATTCATAAGACAAAACCCTCCCGCTCCTTTACTAGCTCTGCGACTTCTGGGTTCTCAGGAGGGTCTGGTGATCCTTTGCCTGACGAGATGGCGGTTCTTGAGCACACTGGAATGGAGCCGGCGACCGAATGCGAAGCTCTCGTTGCTCTTCGTGAGCTTGGCACACTCGTTGCAAGACGTCGAGGGCTAGAGGTCAGCAGTTTCAACCACAGCCTCATGATGCTCTTCTCGCAGACTAGACCAGCAGAGAGAATAGCAGAAGGTATCGAAGAACGAGACGCACGGCCGTCACGGCAAGGGATGGGCTCGAATTCTGGAAAACCACAGTACCCTGATACATCTTTTGCACCCCGACATAATTTACGGAAGTTTCTGTCGCAGCCACATCTCAGCACTCCACAGAGGCATTGTCGACACTTTTCTTTTGAGCCTGGGGCGGATCAGCTCGAAGCGCTCGCGGAGGACTTTGGAGCGCTTGACGGGGAGACCAATGAGAGCGGTTCTGACGATTCGGACACTCCGCTCCTCATGCGTGCTGAGCGCCCTGCACTTGATACCCATTCAATTAGGTCTACTTCATCGTCCCAAAATCTGGGTGCAGATTTGGCCAAGCCATCAAAGATTCCTAGCCCTGTCCAAACGATGGGTCGCAGTCGCCGAGAGGATTCTGCTTCAAGCCTCCAGTCGGTCTATGCTAGACGTCAAGATAGTCGTCGAGAGTCTCGTTCTAGTGTTATCACGGTATTTCGCGAACACCCAAGTGGAAATGGTCGACCCGAACCCCAGAGCAGACACAGTTCGATCAACGACTTACGTGCGTCAGACTCCTCGACAGGATCAAGAGAGCAGATCGGTGCAACAAGACTGCGCAACAGTAACATAGCTGTCGCAGCAGCGAGGGCTGCAAGTGATGCAAGTCAAACCTCATTGTCAGAGAGAAGCAGCCCAAGATCCTTCCTATCGCGAACAAACAACGCAGGAGGTCCAGTCAGGCCGGTGCATGATGACTCCAAGAGAACGCCATCAAGTTGATAAGTGGACATCTCTTATACCTGTATGATCGAGATCTTTACAACCACATTGGACGGACAGGGCTGCGATTGGTGTTTCATTCCGGTTATTCAGCACATCAGTTTGAGGTTGATTCGACCGTGAGACAACGTGCGATCATCCCTTTCTACTCGCCAAAGTCAGAAGTGATACTTGTGTCACCATTGGAAGACCGGGCTGCAAACGTTTTCTACATTTCTTTTGTTATCACACCAGGTTTCGGGCTTGACCGAGCACCTGTGGATCAGAGAGCAATTATCTGCAGTCATCGTAGCGTGCGTG